CAGAAGAGCTCGATGGGCGTCAAACATCGATCGTCGGCGGCAGTGCAGCGATCGTCTAGCTGTAAAGTCGCTGGCGTTGATGCGAAATGTTCAAGTTCGAGGCTGCTGGCGCCGGAGATGATGCTCGTCGCCTTTGTGCCACGGCGAATCAAGACTTCTGTGCTACCGATCGTTAAAAACGAGACGTGGGCAGCAAAGTCTGCGCTGACAGGTCACTCTACCCAATACCAATCTTTCCTCGATGTTCGGCACGCCAATAATGTGATTAAATGTCACCTCTTATTGATAGTTGCTTCCTAATTTGTATAGGAACATCGTTGAAAAAACCCCAAAACGAGTAGAAATTGCGTGGAGTTAGCAATTCGCTAACAAAACGTCGTTTTGAGCTCTATTGCGCGTTGGCAAAAACGAATTTGCTATTCGCGAAGTCAAATCCGCGTTTAGAAGAAGGAATACGATTCGTTTGTCGCTAATTCGTTGGACAAATTCGTTTTTAAGCTTGGAAACCTCGCGTCTCAGGCGGCCAAGCGTGCAATATCCAAAACCAGGAGCATTGATTAATCCATTCAATGTTTCCTTTATTCTATTTCCAAAACCAGTATGAATTTAGGTAGTTTCAGGCATTCGGTCGTACTTCCGGCCAGCTTGCCTGCTTACATACCTCTATTTCGTACACAGAACCCAATTCCTCGGGCGTAGTCGTTCGTTCCAACGAGCGCGCGCTCGCAATATTTATTTTTGTTCATCGAGCAAGTCTCGCGCTGAGCAAAAAGTAAATTAACAATGCATTTTGCATTACCGCGCAACTTTTGAAGTTGCTGCGGAATCCCAAAACCTAGAATCAGCACCTTTCGGCGGAAAGACGAGTGCAAAACACTCCCTTTCACCTTGCTTGCGCAATATGTTTGCAAAAGCGAGCCGTCGAATGCAAATACCAATACCAGCAGCTCATTCGTACGCCGGGCAACTCTTGGATCGACTCTACCAGCCCGCCGACATGTGTTCAAGGATATCGTGAAGCTTCTGCGCAGCCTCTACGGCCGCGAAGCGTCGATACCTCGTTCGAGTCGGTGCTGCGCGTCATGGATGGCGTCGATGGAGGTCTGGCACCGATGATTTCTGCATTTCTTTGCAAGTAACCATTTGGCATACGTTTCTTGACGACATGAACTCCGTGTTACGTCGAGAATACGTGATTTGTCAATTGTTGCTAACCAAAACCATGGTTAATAGAGAATTCTGTTTTCCATATTCAAAACCAAGGTAGAAAGTAATTTCCTTTGGTTGCGCGCTCATTGAGTCGAACCTGAAATTACTTTGCCGCTCAGAACCAAGTCCCTTTTTGTCTCAGAACCAATGTCAAGGGTCTTGTGAGAAGGGTTCGTCCCCCTCGCCGGACCCTGGCCCTACCTAATATCCAAAACCGGCCACGTACGCCAACCGTTCGCCTACCGCTGCATGGTCGACTTCAACACTCGCGTCCAAGTCCATGGTCCATCCACAACACTCCACCTATCGGTCCAGCAGTGCTCAAGCGTTCAAACAAGTACGTCCCCTTCCCCGAACTGTTTCGGCAGAGGTACGGGCCTCTTAGCGCCGCTCAGTTTCCCACCGCTTTCGTTTTTATGACCCATCTCTCCCCACCCCTAGAGTTTCCTAATGTCTTGGCCCTCCCGCCCCCCTTTTATATATACACACAGTTTCCGTTTCACTTCCTCCACCATCCACCATCACGAGATGTCATACCCCTATCGTGTATTTAAACCAATTCCTCCTTTTCCGGGCCCCCAGGCCTTCTCACCAGACCTTTCCTACCAAGCCTACCGCACCCCAGTCCAGAGGGTTCAACTCATACCTCTACTGGGGGGTCGCTCAATCTGGTCCACATCGGCACCCAGGCCGGAGGGTTCTACCCATAACTCCCCTGGTGAGGCATCGCCCTCGTTGTCCTTGTGGGCCGGGAGTGTCGAAAGTCTCATGACGGATTCCCATATCCGCATGATTCCTTTCGAGGGAAAACCATGGCGTAATCCAATCCGGGTCCCGCCGCGGGGCGCTCGGGAGGAATTTCCTACCATATCCGCCCCCGGCTCACAGGGTCCCCAATTCAGTCCCGCGATTTATGGGTAATTCTCACGGGAACTGAACCCTTGTCGCTCGTTGATCCAACACCCTGTTCTGGACCCCAATCCCCGTGACTAGCATTGCTGGCGCGCGGGCGATTGGGTGTCTGATGAACAATGACATTTCCTCGTGCTCCCAATTCTCTCGTGTTCCGGTAATTGTGTGTCTACTAATAAACCTTTTGTCTCTATTCCTTTTCTATATTGGTAATCGCATTGTAAGCATTGGGAGAATCACAGAAATACTAAATCCACTGAACAACCGATGCCTCTGAATGGGGTTACATCTCTCATAAGGGTGACAGTGGCAACCTTCTTCATATAGTTGATCATATCCTATATGGGGAATGGAGTGTCTCCCTTATGACAAAAATCGCCTGTCCGAAAATCACCCATCCGAAAATCAACTGTCCGCAAAGTAAATTTCGGACCATGAAATCGAAGTGCCACTGAAACTTCCCAAGACCTTCAGGTAATCTATTCAAACCGGATTTTTGAGAAAATGGGGGGGGTAGTTTCAAGGGATACGAACCGCTACTGTATCATAAATTTTTGAAGAGTGACTCAATGAGCTCGGGCAGGCAGTCCCTAAGATACGGCCGATGAAACTTGGTTTGGCCACGATTCCGGGGCTTTCCCCACGTGGGGCTATCTGGTGGCAGTTACACCTCGAACCTTTAGGAACTGACTAAGTAATTCGAAAAGGGTTTTGATTGGCTGCTTCGGACATTAGTTTTTCGGACTGGTGTTTTTCGGACAGGCGACTTTTCGGACAGGTGTTTTTTCGGACACATGTTTTTTCGGACGGGTGTTTTTTCGGACACATGTTTTTTCGGACTGGTGATTTTTCGGACAGTTGTTTTTCGGACAGGTGTTTTTCGGACAGATGATTTTCGGACAGGTGTTTGGCAATCGAAAACCAACATTATGTATACCTTTTTCAGCCATCACCTTCCCCGTCCTCACGGACTTCGCCCCTTTCGTCTATAACATTCCTGGCTACTATTGGGCCTTCAGACCGAATACCCCGGGTTCTGAACTCTACGGGCTTTGGAATTGGGTCTCGCAGGGAATCTGTCTCTTTTCAATTGTATCTTCCGACCTCTACGTCATTTATTTTCTTCAAAGACATCGTGCCGGGAAGAGCCAAAAACCCGGGGCGTTGGGGATTGGACCATCGTTTCCAACGGTTACTGGTAAGTAACTTTGGCCGCTCAATAAAATTTAATTATTTTTAAAGTCGGAAAACTGTCAAACGTAAAAATCTGGCCATATGGCGTTGGTGCGACCAGATTTCTCGATATTTTAGAAACTACAAAAACCGGCCGTTCGGCTATCCGGAAGATTAGTGATCCTATTCGGATCAATGTACCCTCTATAAAAAGGGTAAGTTTTAAATTCTTTAGGGTGATTTTGTTTTTGAAGAACTAAGTGTTTTCTCATTGTTTTTCTCAGTCTGGTGGCTTTTAAAGATCGACTAGCAAGTTTAGTCCCACCCTCTATTCCCACGTTTCTGAAAGCAACCGCGAGGCCCGAAAATTTCTCACAATTATAAAAATCGCCAACTACACCTTTGGGCTCTGATTTTTGGCAAAGAGAGAGAGTGAGAGAGAGCGAGAGAGAGAGAGAGAGAGAGAGAGAGAGAGAGAGAGAGAGAGAGAGAGAGAGGTCCAAAGTGGTCTTACTGTATATTGCCATTATTTTCAGGAAGGATGGCCGGTCGAAAAACGTCTCGCGGCATGTTTCATCATTTTCAGTTTTTGCTTTATCTTGGCGACCGTATCCTTCAATTTTCTGGGATCGTAAGTACCGCTTTCTACTTTTTTTACAATTTCAATTCCAGCTCGAAATCGGTGATACTTCATTCCGTCCAAACCTTCTCAAAATGGATTGAATACTTCAAGTTTACGCCGTATATTTTGGCGCTGAGGCCGTGAAGTGAAGGATATTAAACGACGCTTGTATAAATATTAGATTTTTTGAAGATGCATATTTCTTAAACATGTTAGAGAACAGGAATTATGTTTTGACGTTTCGCCAGACCCCGAAAAACTGCAATCCAATTGCGCATCCATGCAGAATGTCTCCACGTGGACATGAAAAATGCCGTTAGGATGCACCTTCAATTTTCTAGGGAGAATTGCGCCCTCAAAATCCATAGTGTCAGCGATTGCGACGTAATTTGTCTCGTCTCTCGTCTCGACTTCAAAACTCCTCCATTCTGGGTACTCGCCCCGTTTTTTTCCCAGACCCCGACGCGTCTTTATAGCGTTTATTCAGGAATTGCGTTTTGTCAAAATCATGGCAAATTGACGTGAAACTGGCGATGTATCTTATTTAAGTTCGGTTAGCGACGCATTTTTGTACTTTTTCACACCGGAACTGAGAGAAGTTGTACAGGGACGTTTCCTAGAATTTTTGGCGTTTTGGCTTAGGTAGAAATCGTACCCAAAAAAACCTTACCTTTTTAGTAGTTACCTTACAAGTAGTTGTTAGTTTAGTTTACCTTCTTTGATTTTCAATAATTTTCGTTTTTGAATTTAGTTTAATTTAGAGGGGCTTGCATAAAAAATCCCATATTGCCTTTTCAAAACTCTACTTTCCAAAATATTTTCCGCCCCCTAGACGTTAAAACCAGCAAAAACTTTTTATGCTTTCTGCCGCCTGGCCAAAAACTCTCACAAAATTTGCCTGATCCCGCAACAATACGCCCACTTGGACTCCGGGCCTACAATTAATTGTGATGCGAATTTTCGCAAGGTCAAGCTCCTCCATTCTCGCACGTGGTACGAAGAACTCCATCCCACCGAAGATCAGCAGGGCCAGACTCGCATATTTCGTAACCCAGCCTCAAATTTCTATTTCAACGCTTTTTCGATGTCTGGAAATATGTCGCTAATCGACTGGTTGACGTTTGCGAGATTGCCATTTATTGTACTACACCACGTATTTTGTATTAAATATGCCTTCAGCAAGCCGCAGATCTCGCCGCTGATTCGGGTAGTGCTGGTGAGTTTAGGAGCTCCAAAAATAGTGAAAAAATTGTCGTCATATTTTTCATTTTTTAAAATTTTTTCAAATCACTCTCGTTCTAAATGATACGCTATTTGCAGGTTATCTTCATGATCGATCTCGTCGATATTGTCCCAAGCTTTCTACACGATTTCCTGGGGAAATACCTGGAGAAGCAGATCTTTCGTAAGTTACAAAATCCTCGAAAAACCCGCTAAATTCAGCCGACCTTCTCGTTGACTATATCATCATCACAAAAGCGATTAGATGGTATCAAACCGCGGAAAGTATCTGTAGAATTTACTATCTAGGTACGGCACTCAAGCATTGATTGTCTTCATCGCCTTCCTACAACTGTGGTCGATTTATAATTTAACCCGTTTGAAAGAATTCTCAAACACCATGCTAAATATTTCTATAGCTGGGATACTGTGCTTTGCTACTGGTAAGATTAGACAAGATTTCGTAAGCAAATTTTATTACAGTAATCGCTTTTCCTCTACTGACGGATTGGGCGGGGTTTATTTTTCTGATTCCCGGGTATTATTGGAGCTTTGACAAGTCGAAGCCCGGAACATGGATTTACGAGATTTGGAATTGGATCGCACAGGTTAGAGATTTTTCGGGTTCAATATCTAGCTTAAAGGGGCTACGAACTGCCAAATCAAACCCCTTTTGGGAGGCCTCTTTGATTTCTGGCAAATTGCCAGCGGGCGCTGCGGGACGAGAGCCCTCACTCTTTCGATTTTTGCGCGAAGTCGTTTTTGCCCGGTTTCTTTGTGAAAACACTATAATTCGCGCATTCTGAGCCCATTTTCGAAATCCTCACTCAATTTTAAATAGTTTTGGTGTTTTGACCATCAAATTTGAAACAGAAACAGCCAAGAATGTGATTTCGAGGTGACAACAGGCAATTTCAAATTTGCGAGGTTCCCGGGCCCCTGGGTGTACAGAGGCCTCCCACGGACAGGGCTCCGATTTTCGGGCCGTCACTCAATTTTTGTCATTTCGTAGCCCCTTTAAGTTCCGACCTTAGAAGCAGTTAGCGAACGGGTCAAAAGCCAATTTCCAAATTGTCCAAAAATTTGAACTAATTGGTTTCGTTGACCGTAGAATTTTCGCAATTGTGGGAAGTAGCATCTCATAGAAATTTTATAATTTTACAAGTTTTTATTTCGTTTTTTTCCAGATTATCTGCTTGGTGTTCATCATCATGGCCGACATCTACGTCATCTATTTTTTGCATCGACACCGGCGGGCGAGCAGGCGGCAAACACTGACTGGGGCATCGTCGGTTCACATGCATGGTACCATGTTTTTATTTTCACTGCTTTCACCAAACCGGAAAATTCAAACTTGTCTACGTAGTTCCCAATTCATCGACACCAAGCTAAAGCCGAACTTTCAGAACCCTCCCAGCCATCAGTGCGAAGTGGCACGAAAATCCAGCTGACGCCTCAAATGCGCCCGACCGTTCCGAGAAAGGTACGTTTAAAGGCTACGTTCGGGGACGTTTTTTTTTTGGAAAAAAGCAAAGATTTTTGCCGCGGACGGGGGTCGAACCCGGGCCCCCCGCTAGGGAGGCGCGGATGAATACCAGTCAACCACCAGCTACAACCTGGCGAGGGGGTCAGGGCCGCCCCAAGCCGCAAAGGAGGGAAATTGCCTGCCACGGCACGGGCAGGCAGTGCGCGCGGTCCTTAGGTCCATAGGGTGTACACGTTGGGACGAGTACACAGCCCCTCCCTGAACGTGCGCTTTAAGCCAGTAATCATTAAATCGTACTTGCGTCGTCTGACGTAATTTCATTCTCCTCTCCAATATTTATTCTTAGAAATCAGTAGCCTCTTTAAAAGCCTTTTTTTCACCTTTTCAGGAACGTCTCAGAATCGAACGCGGCCTGGCGATCTGCTTCATCATTTTCAGTTTCGGCTTCGTCTTGGAAACCGTGTCTTTCAACTTTTTGAACAGGTATTTTCATCAAACTTCCTTCGAATAACGTTATTTCAGCATCAACTCCGTCTACATCCGCTACGTACAGCTGTTCGCCAACTGGCTTGACTATTTCAAATTTAGCGCCTATATCTTTATTTTACGCAACTGATAAAAGCTCCATAATGCCTGTATGAAACAACATTGATCTCTACACCCTAATCGTGTTTATTCTGTTTTTAGATCTGAGAGACCTTTTATGTTGTCTGAAAAGTTCAGCCTGAGTGAGAATTCTCGGTCGTCGCCGCCTGAGTTGTAGCTTTTGTCGTCGCCGTTTTGGACGTTGTCGTCGCTTGGGTCGTAGTAGCCTTCGTAGTCGTCGCTTTCGGCGTTGTCGTCACTTGGGTCGTAGTAGCCTTCGTAGTCGTCGCTTTCGGCGTTGTCGTCACTTGGGTCGTAGTAGCCTTCGTAGTCGTCGCTTTCGGCGTTGTCGTCACTTGGGTCGTAGTAGCCTTCGTAGTCGTCGCTTTCGGCGTTGTCGTCACTTGGGTCGTAGTAGCCTTCGTAGTCGTCGCTTTCGGCGTTGTCGTCACTTGGGTCGTAGTAGCCTTCGTAGTCGTCGCTTTCGGCGTTGTCGTCGCTTGGGTCGTAGTAGCCTTCGTAGTCGTCGCTTTCGGCGTTGTCGTCACTTGGGTCGTAGTAGCCTTCGTAGTCGTCGCTTTCGGCGTTGTCGTCGCTTGGGTCGTAGTAGCCTTCGTGGTCGTCGCTTTCGGCGTTGTCGTCGCCCTGGTCGTTGTTGCTTTCGGAGTGGTGGTGGCTTTTGTTGTCGTTGCCTTCGGCGTCGTCGTCGCCTTGGTCGTTGTTGCCTTCGGAGTGGTGGTGGCCTTCGTGGTCGTTGCCTTCGGCGTCGTCGTCGCCGTGGTCGTTGTTGCCTTCGGAGTGGTGGTGGCTTTTGTTGTCGTTGCCTTCGGCGTCGTCGTCGCCTTGGTCGTTGTTGCTTTCGGAGTGGTGGTGGCTTTTGTTGTCATTGCCTTCGGCGTCGTCGTCGCCGTGGTCGTTGTTGCCTTCGGAGTGGTGGTGGCTTTTGTTGTCGTTGCCTTCGGCGTCGTCGTCGCCTTGGTCGTTGTTGCCTTCGGAGTGGTGGAGGCTTTTGTTGTCGTTGCCTTCGGCGTCGTCGTCGCCTTGGTCGTTGTTGCCTTCGGAGTGGTGGTGGCTTTTGTTGTCGTTGCCTTCGGCGTCGTCGTCGCCTTGGTCGTTGTTGCTTTCGGAGTGGTGGTGGCTTTTGTTGTCGTTGCCTTCGGCGTCGTCGTCGCCTTGGTCGTTGTTGCCTTCGGAGTGGTGGTGGCTTTGGTTGTCGTTGCCTTCGGCGTCGTCGTCGCCTTGGTCGTTGTTGCCTTCGGAGTGGTGGAGGCTTTTGTTGTCGTTGCCTTCGGCGTCGTCGTCGCCTTGGTCGTTGTTGCCTTCGGAGTGGTGGTGGCCTTCGTGGTCGTTGCCTTCGGCGTCGTCGTCGCCGTGGTCGTTGTTGCCTTCGGAGTGGTGGTGGCTTTTGTTGTCGTTGCCTTCGGCGTCGTCGTCGCCTTGGTCGTTGTTGCTTTCGGAGTGGTGGTGGCTTTGGTTGTCGTTGCCTTCGGCGTCGTCGTCGCCGTGGTCGTTGTTGCCTTCGGAGTGGTGGTGGCTTTTGTTGTCGTTGCCTTCGGCGTCGTCGTCGCCGTGGTCGTTGTTGCCTTCGGAGTGGTGGTGGCTTTTGTTGTCGTTGCCTTCGGCGTCGTCGTCGCCTTGGTCGTTGTTGCTTTCGGAGTGGTGGTGGCTTTTGTTGTCGTTGCCTTCGGCGTCGTCGTCGCCGTGGTCGTTGTTGCCTTCGGAGTGGTGGTGGCTTTTGTTGTCGTTGCCTTCGGCGTCGTCGTCGCCTTGGTCGTTGTTGCCTTCGTGGTCGTTGCCTTCGGCGTCGTCGTCGCCTTGGTCGTTGTTGCCTTCGGAGTGGTGGTGGCTTTTGTTGTCGTTGCCTTCGGCGTCGTCGTCGCCTTGGTCGTTGTTGCCTTCGGAGTGGTGGTGGCTTTGGTTGTCGTTGCCTTCGGCGTCGTCGTCGCCTTGGTCGTTGTTGCCTTCGGAGTGGTGGTGGCTTTGGTTGTCGTTGCCTTCGGCGTCGTCGTCGCCTTGGTCGTTGTTGCCTTCGGAGTGGTGGTGGCTTTTGTTGTCGTTGCCTTTTGCGTCGTCGTCGCCTTGGCCGTTGTTGCCTTCGGAGTGGTGGTGGCTTTGGTGGTAGTTGCCTTCGGCGTCGTCGTCGCCTTGGTCGTTGTTGCCTTCGGAGTGGTGGTGGCCTTCGTGGTCGTTGCCTTCGGCGTCGTCGTCGCCTTGGTCGTTGTTGCCTTCGGAGTGGTGGTGGCCTTCGTGGTCGTTGCCTTCGGCGTCGTCGTCGGCTTGGTCGTTGTTGCCTTCGGAGTGGTGGTGGCCTTCGTGGTCGTTGCCTTCGGCGTCGTCGTCGCCTTGGTCGTTGTTGCCTTCGGAGTGGTGGTGGCCTTCGTGGTAGTGGCCTTCGGCGTCGTCGTCACCTTGGTCGTTGTTGCCTTCGGAGTGGTGGTGGCTTTTGTTGTCGTTGCCTTCGGCGTCGTCGTCGCCTTGGTCGTTGTTGCCTTCGGAGTGGTGGTGGCTTTGGTGGTAGTGGCCTTCGGCGTCGTCGTCGCCTTGGTCGTTGTTGCCTTCGGAGTGGTGGTGGCCTTCGTGGTCGTTGCCTTCGGCGTCGTCGTCGCCTTGGTCGTTGTTGCCTTCGGAGTGGTGGTGGCTTTGGTTGTCGTTGCCTTTGGCGTCGTCGTCGCCTTGGTCGTTGTTGCCTTCGGAGTGGTGGTGGCTTTGGTTGTCGTTGCCTTTGGCGTCGTCGTCGCCTTGGTCGTTGTTGCCTTCGGAGTGGTGGTGGCTTTGGTGGTAGTGGCCTTCGGCGTCGTCGTCGCCTTCGTCGTTGTTGCCTTCGGAGTGGTGGTGGCTTTGGTTGTCGTTGCCTTCGGCGTCGTCGTCGCCTTGGTCGTTGTTGCCTTCGGAGTGGTGGTGGCTTTGGTGGTAGTTGCCTTCGGCGTCGTCGTCGCCTTGGTCGTTGTTGCCTTCGGGTGGTGGTGGCTCGTTGCCTTCGGCGTCGTCGTCGCCGCCTTGGTCGTTGTTGCCTTCGGAGTGGTGGTGGCTTTGGTTGTCGTTGCCTTCGGCGTCGTCGTCGCCTTGGTCGTTGTTGCCTTCGGAGTGGTGGTGGCTTTGGTTGTCGTTGCCTTTGGCGTCGTCGTCGCCTTGGTCGTTGTTGCCTTCGGAGTGGTGGTGGCTTTGGTGGTAGTGGCCTTCGGCGTCGTCGTCGCCTTCGGTCGTTGTTGCCTTCGGAGTGGTGGTGGCCTTCGTGGTCGTTGCCTTCGGCGTCGTCGTCGGCTTGGTCGTTGTTGCCTTCGGAGTGGTGGTGGCTTTGGTTGTCGTGGCCTTTTGCGTCGTCGTCGCCTTGGTCGTTGTTGCCTTCGGAGTGGTGGTGGCTTTTGTTGTCGTTGCCTTTGGCGTCGTCGTCGCCTTGGTCGTTGTTGCCTTCGGAGTGGTGGTGGCTTTGGTGGTAGTTGCCTTCGGCGTCGTCGTCGCCTTGGTCGTTGTTGCCTTCGGAGTGGTGGTGGCCTTCGTGGTCGTTGCCTTCGGCGTCGTCGTCGCCTTGGTCGTTGTTGCCTTCGGAGTGGTGGTGGCTTTGGTTGTCGTTGCCTTCGGCGTCGTCGTCGCCTTGGTCGTTGTTGCCTTCGGAGTGGTGGTGGCTTTGGTTGTCGTTGCCTTTGGCGTCGTCGTCGCCTTGGTCGTTGTTGCCTTCGGAGTGGTGGTGGCTTTGGTGGTAGTGGCCTTCGGCGTCGTCGTCGCCTTGGTCGTTGTTGCCTTCGGAGTGGTGGTGGCTTTGGTTGTCGTTGCCTTCGGCGTCGTCGTCGCCTTGGTCGTTGTTGCCTTCGGAGTGGTGGTGGCTTTGGTGGTAGTGGCCTTCGGCGTCGTCGTCGCCTTGGTCGTTGTTGCCTTCGTGGTCGTTGCCTTCGGCGTCGTCGTCGCCTTGGTCGTTGTTGCCTTCGGAGTGGTGGTGGCTTTGGTTGTCGTTGCCTTCGGCGTCGTCGTCGCCTTGGTCGTTGTTGCCTTCGGAGTGGTGGTGGCTTTGGTTGTCGTTGCCTTCGGCGTCGTCGTCGCCTTGGTCGTTGTTGCCTTCGGAGTGGTGGTGGCTTTGGTTGTCGTTGCCTTCGGCGTCGTCGTCGCCTTGGTCGTTGTTGCCTTCGGAGTGGTGGTGGCTTTGGTTGTCGTTGCCTTTGGCGTCGTCGTCGCCTTGGCCGTTGTTGCCTTCGGAGTGGTGGTGGCTTTGGTGGTCGTTGCCTTCGGCGTCGTCGTCGCCTTGGTCGTTGTTGCCTTCGGAGTGGTGGTGGCCTTCGTGGTCGTTGCCTTCGGCGTCGTCGTCGCCTTGGTCGTTGTTGCCTTCGGAGTGGTGGTGGCTTTCGTTGTCGTTGCCTTCGGCGTCGTCGTCACCTTGGTCGTTGTTGCCTTCGGAGTGGTGGTGGCTTTGGTTGTCGTTGCCTTCGGCGTCGTCGTCGCCTTGGTCGTTGTTGCCTTCGGAGTGGTGGTGGCTTTGGTGGTAGTGGCCTTCGGCGTCGTCGTCGCCTTCGTCGTTGTTGCCTTCGGAGTGGTGGTGGCTTTGGTTGTCGTTGCCTTCGGCGTCGTCGTCGCCTTGGTCGTTGTTGCCTTCGGAGTGGTGGTGGCTTTGGTTGTCGTTGCCTTCGGCGTCGTCGTCGCCTTGGTCGTTGTTGCCTTCGGTGGTGGTGCCGTTGCCTTCGGCGTCGTCGTCGCCTTGGTCGTTGTTGCCTTCGGAGTGGTGGTGGCTTTGGTTGTCGTTGCCTTCGGCGTCGTCGTCGCCTTGGTCGTTGTTGCCTTCGGAGTGGTGGTGGCTTTGGTTGTCGTTGCCTTCGGCGTCGTCGTCGCCTTGGTCGTTGTTGCCTTCGGAGTGGTGGTGGCTTTGGTTGTCGTTGCCTTCGGCGTCGTCGTCGCCTTGGTCGTTGTTGCCTTCGGAGTGGTGGTGGCTTTGGTTGTCGTTGCCTTTGGCGTCGTCGTCGCCTTGGTCGTTGTTGCCTTCGGAGTGGTGGTGGCTTTGGTGGTAGTGGCCTTCGGCGTCGTCGTCGCCTTGGTCGTTGTTGCCTTCGGAGTGGTGGTGGCCTTCGTGGTCGTTGCCTTCGGCGTCGTCGTCGCCTTGGTCGTTGTTGCCTTCGGAGTGGTGGTGGCCTTCGTGGTAGTGGCCTTCGGCGTCGTCGTCACCTTGGTCGTTGTTGCCTTCGGAGTGGTGGTGGCTTTTGTTGTCGTTGCCTTTTGCGTCGTCGTCGCCTTGGTCGTTGTTGCCTTCGGAGTGGTGGTGGCTTTGGTGGTAGTGGCCTTCGGCGTCGTCGTCGCCTTGGTCGTTGTTGCCTTCGGAGTGGTGGTGGCTTTTGTTGTCGTTGTCTTCGGCGTCGTCGTCGCCTGGGTCGTTGTTGCCTTCGGAGTGGTGGTGGCTTTTGTTGTCGTTGCCTTTTGCGTCGTCGTCGCCTTGGTCGTTGTTGCCTTCGGAGTGGTGGTGGCTTTGGTGGTAGTTGCCTTCGGCGTCGTCGTCGCCTTCGTCGTTGTTGCCTTCGGAGTGGTGGTGGCTTTGGTTGTCGTTGCCTTCGGCGTCGTCGTCGCCTTGGTCGTTGTTGCCTTCGGAGTGGTGGTGGCTTTGGTGGTAGTGGCCTTCGGCGTCGTCGTCGCCTTGGTCGTTGTTGCCTTCGTGGTCGTTGCCTTCGGCGTCGTCGTCGCCGCCTTGGTCGTTGTTGCCTTCGGAGTGGTGGTGGCTTTGGTTGTCGTTGCCTTCGGCGTCGTCGTCGCCTGGGTCGTTGTTGCCTTCGGAGTGGTGGTGGCTTTGTTGTCGTTGCCTTTGCGTCGTCGTCGCCTTGGTCGTTGTTGCCTTCGGAGTGGTGGTGGCTTTGGTGGTAGTGGCCTTCGGCGTCGTCGTCGCCTTCGTCGTTGTTGCCTTCGGAGTGGTGGTGGCTTTTGTTGTCGTTGCCTTCGGCGTCGTCGTCGCCTTGGTCGTTGTTGCCTTCGGAGTGGTGGTGGCTTTGGTGGTAGTGGCCTTCGGCGTCGTCGTCGCCTTGGTCGTTGTTGCCTTCGTGGTCGTTGCCTTCGGCGTCGTCGTCGCCGCCTTGGTCGTTGTTGCCTTCGGAGTGGTGGTGGCTTTGGTTGTCGTTGCCTTCGGCGTCGTCGTCGCCTTGGTCGTTGTTGCCTTCGTGGTCGTTGCCTTCGGCGTCGTCGTCGCCTTGGTCGTTGTTGCTTTCGGAGTGGTGGTGGCTTTGGTTGTCGTTGCCTTTTGCGTCGTCGTCGCCTTGGTCGTTGTTGCCTTCGGAGTGGTGGTGGCTTTGGTGGTAGTTGCCTTCGGCGTCGTCGTCGCCTTGGTCGTTGTTGCCTTCGTGGTCGTTGCCTTCGGCGTCGTCGTCGCCTTGGTCGTTGTTGCCTTCGGAGTGGTGGTGGCTTTGGTGGTAGTAGCCTTCGGCGTCGGCGTCGCCTTGGTCGTTGTTGCCTTCGGAGTGGTGGTGGCTTTTGTTGTCGTTGCCTTCGGCGTCGTCGTCGCCTTGGTCGTTGTTGCCTTCGTGGTCGTTGCCTTCGGCGTCGTCGTCGCCTTGGTCGTTGTTGCCTTCGGAGTGGTGGTGGCTTTGGTGGTAGTAGCCTTCGGCGTCGGCGTCGCCTTGGTCGTTGTTGCCTTCGGAGTGGTGGTGGCTTTGTTGTCGTTGCCTTCGGCGTCGTCGTCGCCTTGGTCGTTGTTGCCTTCGTGGTGGGGCTTTGGTTGTCGTTGCCTTCGGCGTCGTCGTCGCCTTGGTCGTTGTTGCCTTCGGAGTGGTGGTGGCTTTGGTGGTAGTAGCCTTCGGCGTCGTCGTCGCCTTGGTCGTTGTTGCCTTCGGAGTGGTGGTGGCTTTGGTTGTCGTTGCCTTCGGCGTCGTCGTCGCCTTCGTCGTTGTTGCCTTCGGAGTGGTGGTGGCTTTTGTTGTCGTTGCCTTTTGCGTCGTCGTCGCCTTGGTCGTTGTTGCCTTCGGAGTGGTGGTGGCTTTGGTGGTAGTGGCCTTCGGCGTCGTCGTCGCCTTGGTCGTTGTTGCCTTCGGAGTGGTGGTGGCCTTCGTGGTCGTTGCCTTCGGCGTCGTCGTCGGCTTGGTCGTTGTTGCCTTCGGAGTGGTGGTGGCTTTTGTTGTCGTTGCCTTTTGCGTCGTCGTCGCCTTGGTCGTTGTTGCCTTCGGAGTGGTGGTGGCTTTGGTGGTAGTGGCCTTCGGCGTCGTCGTCGCCTTCGTCGTTGTTGCCTTCGGAGTGGTGGTGGCTTTTGTTGTCGTTGCCTTCGGCGTCGTCGTCGCCTTGGTCGTTGTTGCCTTCGGAGTGGTGGTGGCTTTGGTGGTAGTGGCCTTCGGCGTCGTCGTCGCCTTGGTCGTTGTTGCCTTCGTGGTCGTTGCCTTCGGCGTCGTCGTCGCCTTGGTCGTTGTTGCCTTCGGAGTGGTGGTGGCTTTTGTTGTCGTTGCCTTTTGCGTCGTCGTCGCCTTGGTCGTTGTTGCCTTCGGAGTGGTGGTGGCTTTGGTGGTAGTGGCCTTCGGCGTCGTCGTCGCCTTGGTCGTTGTTGCCTTCGTGGTCGTTGCCTTCGGCGTCGTCGTCGCCTTGGTCGTTGTTGCCTTCGGAGTGGTGGTGGCTTTTGTTGTCGTTGCCTTCGGCGTCGTCGTCGCCTTCGTCGTTGTTGCCTTCGGAGTGGTGGTGGCTTTTGTTGTCGTTGCCTTCGGCGTCGTCGTCGCCTTGGTCGTTGTTGCCTTCGGAGTGGTGGTGGCTTTGGTGGTAGTGGCCTCGGCGTCGTCGTCGCCTTGGTCGTTGTTGCCTTCGTGGTCGTTGCCTTCGGCGTCGTCGTCGCCTTGGTCGTTGTTGCCTTCGGAGTGGTGGTGGCTTTGGTGGTAGTAGCCTTCGGCGTCGGCGTCGCCTTGGTCGTTGTTGCCTTCGGAGTGGTGGTGGCTTTTGTTGTCGTTGCCTTCGGCGTCGTCGTCGCCTTGGTCGTTGTTGCCTTCGAAGTGGTGGTGGCCTTCGTGGTCGTTGCCTTCGGCGTCGTCGTCGCCTTGGTCGTTGTTGCCTTCGGAGTGGTGGTGGCTTTGGTGGTAGTAGCCTTCGGCGTCGGCGTCGCCTTGGTCGTTGTTGCCTTCGGAGTGGTGGTGGCTTTTGTTGTCGTTGCCTTCGGCGTCGTCGTCGCCTTGGTCGTTGTTGCCTTCGAAGTGGTGGTGGCCTTCGTGGTCGTTGCCTTCGGCGTCGTCGTCGCCTTGGTCGTTGTTGCCTTCGGAGTGGTGGTGGCCTTCGTGGTAGTGGCCTTCGGCGTCGTCGTCACCTTGGTCGTTGTTGCCTTCGGAGTGGTGGTGGCTTTTGTTGTCGTTGCCTTCGGCGTCGTCGTCGCCTTGGTCTTTGTTGCCTTCGGAGTGGTGGTGGCTTTGGTTGTCGTTGCCTTCGGCGTCGTCGTCGCCTTGGTCGTTGTTGCCTTCGGAGTGGTGATGGCTTTGGTGGTAGTGGCCTTCGGCGTCGTCGTCGCCTTGGTCGTTGTTGCCTTCGGAGTGGTGATGGCATTGGTGGTAGTGGCCTTCGGCGTCGTCGTCGCCTTGGTCGTTGTTGCTTTCGGAGTAGTCGTGGCTTTGGTGGTCGTTGTGGGACTATCGGGTTTCTTAAATAATGTTTGGTTAGATACTTTGGCTGCTGGATCGCCGTGAGAGAGGGGGGCCAGGGGCGCAAGAAAATCTTTTTTAAGTCACTTTAGCACCTTTTTGACACTTTGTAGTCTCGATGGTTGCTTATGAACGCTGAAATTGCCTACTTGTCGGTGCCGCTTGACACAGAATACGTGCTTGGGCCGGATACGATGACCATCGTTGCCGAACGTTTTCCATGAGCCTCTAAATTTGTGGTGGCTTACGTTGTTTTCTAGCAAATTGGGACTACAAGATGATATGTGGGCCCGGCCACGCAAAGTACCTTTTCTCATCACATTTGAAGACGTGTTCTAGTCGCCCTCGTGTTGTAGTGATTGTCTAGTTTTAGGTTATGGGTTTGGAATCGCTGCGGCTTGCCTGGTTGTGTTCTGTAATTAGTGCGGTCCAGCCATTGCGGGAGCGGCATACAACTTCCAGGTGGGCCTTGCAATTGATTTTGAACAATCTAAAAGGGTCAAATAGTCCGATGACTTTTGGCAGTCGAAGATGCCTGCCCCGACGGGGCACATTGGAGCTCGCTTAGAGGCTACCTGACTTTCGGCACCTCACATTCGTCGCCGCCCGTGCGGAGGTAGCGCGGACATCGTGCCCTGTTGTACTGTCGCTCCTCACAGTTGCTCTCCTCGTGCTCGCAGCTGGCGCCACTGCTGCTTTCGGATTCCGAAGAGGTTGAGCGGGAGGACAGGGCTAAAGGAATTCCGATTTTCGTTTTACTGTTTCGGTACACAAGCAGCAACTCTCTTTTCCGGGTTTCAAAAACCAAAAACACGTTGCTTTTTTTGCAGTGCAAAGGCTGTTCATTTTGGAATTATACTCACGTAATGGATACGGGCGCTGCTGACCATTTCCGGAACCCTGACCGGGAGGTTGCGCCGGGTAGCTGGGTGGCTAAAATTATCGTATGAGGAAATTTTTGTTTTTAAAGGTTTATGGCATGTTGCAAAATACGCGTTTGAGTTACGTTCAGTGTACTTCGCAAAAAATCCAGAAATTTTTGTTGCAGTTCTGAGGCCCTACTCTGCGCTAAACTTCTGAAGCGCCATACGAATCCACGAAATACTATATATTACGTTAATAATCAGATTTTAAATGCCTTTTTACTTCTAATAGAACCCTAGCGAGCGAAAGAGTTTTCACTGAGAAAAAATTTAAAATTCATCGGTGAACTATTTTGTCCAATCAATTCTGAATCAATCAATACATTATACTGCTTAAGACGAGAATAGTAAACGACGCATACAGGGAGGAAACGCAGTATAAAGAGTAACTAAACGGAAAGGAGTTACCAACCTGATACCCCTGATCGGCACCGTATCCCGCAGCACCCACACCAATCGATGCAAGGGCCAGGAATAGAGCGAAGCTGGCCCAGCAGCCCATCTGGGCGCTCGCAAAGTAAATAAGAGAATTTGCGCGTTAATCGGCCAATATATCCGGGTCGCCGCCAATTGTTGCGATTTGGTGAAGACGATACATCCGGGTGCATCGCCACGTCCTGTTCGTTACAAAAGATTGTTGCGGCTGAGTGGGCGCGATCGCTGACCCGCGTTCTGCATCAGCAGCAATCTTTTGCCGGGAATGGATTTTGTACCCCGAAGATGCAGACATGTCGACAATTAAATTTTTTTTGGTTTTAGACAGACAAACGCGCAGTTGAGGCAGACCACTTCAGATGTCAAACCAGAAACTCTTCTGATAAAAAGTCAAGGAGAAAGGCGGAAACTGTCCTGGCTCTTCCAAGATATTTATTGCGTTGTAGCGCGGAAAAGATTAGTAATAATTAAAATAATGCAAAATTTTGTAAATTCCAAGGAGAAGATAACGTTAGCCCACTTTTAACAAAACAGCATTCTTCGTGTGGGACGTACCGTTGGAAAAATGGCCAATATTTCCGATGTCAAAAATTACACTGATGATTTCATGACATTTTTGAAAAATTCGGTTTTAGCCACTTACGAAGCCAGCCATGGAAGTGGTAGGGTTTCGAATACCAGCAGTATTCTCCAGGAGATCGAGTTCGGTGATTATGTGAAAATTTCGTCAAGAAGGATCCATACTCGATGCACTACGTTAAGTTATCTCTGCTATATTCTGATGGTATCAATATCAACCAATCCAGTTTGTAACCTGATTTGACCTGTTTTACTCCTGATTTTGCAACCCCTTCTCTCTAGCGTATTTCCTGAGAGCGTTGTTCTTTAGATGAAGGTCTGCGATGAGGAATAGTTCATTCGAAAGAGCTCTCCTCTTTGCACTGAATGGGCAAATATTGCTATTTTTTTGGCGCGCGTTTAACAAAATGTACACTTTGAGTAACTCTTTCTCGCTGCGTTATCGTCTTGAAGGATCGAATTGTATCAATCTTCCAAAATTCGAAAGCAAGAGAATAGTTTTGCGGGGCTGACGCTCGATGGCGACGATGAGTCGGCCTGGCCTTTCATAGCCCTCTTTCGTTGCTGTCTGAGATTTTCCCGGATTCGACATCCAGCTCGGTTTTCCGGAAACCAACAAAGGACTTTGATTCGAATCCAGTTGATAAGTTTATTCAGAAGGTGTCAGACGTGTCAAAAGCAAGGGAGCCAAGGACAGCCAAACGGTGGTTTGAGCAGCTACTGGCGTCGAAGCGGTTTTGAGGTCAAACTGAACGAATTGAAACCTTTATAAACTTTAAATTTTAAATTCGGGGTACGGTCATCACTTCTAAAATCATTACTTTTAAAATCATTACTTCTAAAATCATTACCAAAAGTCATTACTCTAAAATCATTACTTAAAGCATACTTAAAGTCATTCTCTAAAATCATTACTAAAGTCATTACTTAAAGTCATTACTTCTAAAATCATTACTTCTAAAACGTTACTTCTAAAATTTGGTATGCCGGATACCCTTTTCGGCATATTTATGCCCAAAAATCGCTTAGAATTTTAGAGTAACGACTTTTAGAAGTATGATTTTAGAAGTAATGACTTTTGAAGTAATGACTTTTAGAAGTAATGTTTGGAAGTAATGACTTTTAGAAGTAATGACTTTTAGAAGTAATGATTTTAGAAGTAATGATTTTAGAAGTAATGATGGGTAGCCTTAAATTCAAGCTAATAGTTATCGGGAACTCCGCTTGCGACACACCAGCGTTATTTCAGACATATTTTATGTATCCTGGAGCAAATTTAATGCCTCTTTTTTTGCGAAAACGTTCGAGTAAGACAATCATTTAGAACATAGCAACTATTGACACTTTAAGAAAGATTCCAAGATAACTACAGTAATTTAGCTGCCCTTTTACGCTATTCACTTGTCATATGCTGTTGTCAATCATAACAACACTTTACTTTCACATAGCAATCGTCAAACTGTCAATTTTCCAATTTTGCAATGATCATTTGGAACAGCACGCAAAGGATTAGAGCTCCCCTCAAGGTTCCCTAAAATCCGAGTATAAACGCGTTTTCAAATTTTTATATTTTTTTTATATTTAGCACCTAGCTTTATGTATCGCCAATCGTTATAAGAAATGTGAAACGGCTTTATTTACTCCCCAAAAAAAACAGTTTCATTAATCATTCGTCTACCGGGGCGGCGGCGGTGGTCGCTTCTTCGGTGGTGTCCTCGTCGCTGGGGTTGATCTAAAAATTTATTTTAGCACGTTTTAGAAGTTTAGGAGTTCTAAAAATTACGAAAATTGATAGCTGATCTCTAAAAGTATGAAAATACGAATGAAATAGGAAAATGAAAACTGTTCTTTAAGTATGAAAATTAGCATTTTTAAGGGCGAAAAGCCCACCTGGCTTTGGATCCATTCGTCGACGACGGCTGAAATAGGAATTTAGGGGTGCAAAGTTAGGTCTTACGTCCGGAGACGCAGAAGGCGTTCTTGACGTAGAAGCGGGAGCCGGTGGCGTTGTAAGTTTTCCACTGGCGGCTAAAGGGCAAGAGGTCGACATCTCTCTATCTCTCTCTCTCTCTCTCTCTCTCTCTCTCTCTCTCTCTCTCCCCCTCTCTCTCTCTCTCTCTCTCCCTATCTCGCTATTTCTCTCCCTCTCTCTATCTCGCTCTCTCTCCTACTTACCGACTCTCCGAGCAGGCGAAGACGTGCTCCAGACGTCCGAAGGTGGCGGTGATCACCTGGAACCGTTCGCATAATTTATTTCCGAAGAAATGGAAAGACCTCTTTGTTAAATTACGATAGTATTTTAAATAATTCTATTCAGCTAAGGAATAGCAAAATTACAAACCAGGACCTGATCCTTCTTGGTGACGAGCGCTTGCCATTCGCCAGATGGGCAGGTCACCTCGAGGAATTCACGGTTGTTCATCTCGAAACGCCTGAATTTGTTGGCTGAATTTTAGTATATCCATCGCGTGCGTGCGTGACGTAGCCGGCGTCCAGTTATTTCCTAATTGCATCTTCTTACCTAACATCCGGGCGCTCGCAGGTGTTGTTGCCGGTCTTGAAGCGCTGGGGGCAACGCGCTTTCTTCATCTTGTGGACGCTGCACCGGTCCTCCTCGCTGCTCGAGCTCGAGCTCCACGAGTCGTAGTAGATCGGCTCGTGGTTGTCTGAAAATGGATATATGAGTTGGAATTTTAATTTCAGTCCTAAAAATTTGTCCTCAACACTTACAAGGAGTGTTGTAGGGCAGCGTTGGCGGGTAGTTGGCCAGGTCGAGGTTGCCGGACTAAAATAGGGTTTCAGGAACGGTTCTGCTTCAACAGAGCGATAGGGAGGGAAGGAGAGAGAGAGATAAACTTTAAGCGTTCTTTTAGATCAGTCCGAACGCTTAAGCTGCTGTCGCTATAGCTAGAAGGAATGTAGCGAGAGAGCGAGAGAGACATAGCGCAGCGAGAGAGAGAAGAGAGAACAAGCGAGAGCGGGTGAGAGAGAGTGAGAAATAGAGAGAGCGAGAGAGATATGGGATACCCAAAAGGCTTTACCTGATATCCGGCACCATACGGGTTCGCGACGAGGGCCGGGAGGGCGCACAGGGCCAACAAGGTAGTGAATGCCATCGTCGTTGAGGCTATTCCGCGATTCCGAAACCCATGCCGGGTACATTTATACATCGTTCGGCCCATGTAATCTATTTTGGCTCCGCGACCCCTGCAGCCAAAATACGCCAAGCCGAGCAGCTTTGTTTTGAATCCGTGCTTCGCGTCGCATGCCACGGAATGATCCGTTTCCTCCTGGCTTTTTTATGATCCCTGGAGATCAATGAAAGGGGATAGTGTGAAATCGCGCGGAAACCTTGGAATAAATGACAGATATGCTTGACATGAATTTGTATTATCGGGAACATTTTACTGCTTAAAAAAATCGATCATACCTTGCCAGTAACCTAAATTGTTTTGGATTTATGGAGCTATTTTGGCTTCCAGAAATTCCTACGTACGTAATAGAAAGTGTCTTAATCGTATGTTTAACAAAATTTAATCAGAACTGAGGTGAAAAACTATCTAACCACTTTCAAAATTTTCAAAAATTCGAAATTTTGGACGAAAAAATCGATATTTTAATTTTATAGTAAAGATTTGGCCATTTTTGCCCGCGGTCGTAGTCAAAGGTAGCTTTATGTAAATCCAAAGTAGAAATTGGATAAAGGGAAAATCATTGTTTTTAGCCCTTCTTAACCTCACATCCGATCATGTGAAAGAAATCTAAAAAAAATCGTTCACCAAATTCGTTCATCTTCGTATTTTTGCCAGAATCGGTGATGAATTACGACCCATTGCATACAGATGCACAAACCTTCCCGCTCCTTTCTAATCCGTTCAGAATGTTATCTGGGATCGATATTGGGGCAGATAAATCGGGGAGAGGCTTGCAGAGCCCCGGCTCTCTCTACGCGATTCATCTGATAACAAAACGGTCTGCCCCCTAGGGGTCGAATAGGGTCAGCCAGCCTCTCACCACATTTTCGGAGGTGTTTTCTTGACTATTATAATATCGTTGTCTTCAATAGTATAAAATTCACCCACGAAAGCTAACCCTTTCATGTCTTAATATGAATTTTTGCATCGTTTTAAACGAAGCTAATTTACGAATACGCCCGGTTGACGCTAGCTATTCAGGACTACTTTGTTATTTACGGTGTATATACACAAAAGTTAACGCATTTGCCGTGTACTAACAGTATCATCTTCAACGTAAATTTTGAGAAACACTTACTTTTTTGTTGCTTAGGGAATTTCAAGTTCTCTAATCTTTAAGTAAGAAAAGCATTTTTGTTTAAGTTGTATTCAATTTGACCGTGGTCATTTTTGCAATTGGCAACTGGATGAAAATTGTAGTTTCGACTATTTTAAACCCTTGACTCAAATTTTAAAGCCACTGACTGCCCCATTAATGCGTGACGCGGTGCGCAGATGTGTTTCCAGTTGCTAGATAAGATTTTTTGTAAAGTTATGATGCGCCTCATTTCGGCGATTTTTTTGCGATATACCCGACAGGTCCCCCCCAACTTCTTATTATCTGTTTTCAATAGCGTAGAAAACAATCTGATTTATGGCATTACAATACCTACTCCGTGCCGTTTCCGAAATCTTGGCCCGGTTTTCTGATTTTCGTATTTATACTGTTGCAAAACCGGCGATAAGGTGGTTGTCTTGATGAGCTCTATTTTTTATGCGCCTGCGATAAGGAAAAGTACGGATCGTTCCTGGAAACGACCGGTTCCCCGGCGATCCACACGATGGCCGCCACTTTCATTTCATGGTAAAAGGAATAGGCATTTTCTGGAAAGTTTTGTTCGGGATTTTTCCGCTCAATCAACACCGAAAGTCAGAGAATCAAGGGCGCGGATCTGATAAGTAGGAATTCGGCTCAAGGAGGCGGACGCGAGACAAAGCTCTGTTTTTTTGTTCCTGCTTGTTTTATTTAATTCTGTCATCGTTTTGTGGCCTTCTTTAACCATTTTAATATTCCAGCTTCGTAACTTTGCTGATTTTAGTTTTTATCGATTTGTATAATGGCGCTGAAAATGAAAATGAAAGTCAGTTAATAAAGCGCTCTCTCTCCCTCTCGCTCGCCCTCTCTCTCTCTCTGTCTCTATTTCTCTATCTTTTTCTTTCCATTTTCTTGAATCCTTTGGTTTGCTACGCGGGCTCAAAGGCCAGCACGTCTTTTGGGATGTTCGGACCGTTTTGGCCGGAGATCTGCGGTTTTCTTTCTTCCTTTTCCATCTGGTTTCTTTCCGATTTCTCCCCCGCACATCGCAGCTGACCCCATGACCCGTCTCGCAGCGAAAAATAGGCGTTTTAGGGCGCGTTGGAAGGGGAAACCATTCGCGCAGAAAAAATTTACGATACTGGCGACGTTTTACGCCTAATACCACTAAAATAAGCGAAACAAGCGTCTTTTGTGACTTTTGACTTTACTCATATTTTCAAACACAAAATGTAGCTTTCTCTCTATCTCGCTCCGTTTTGTTCCGCACTCTCCATCTCTATCCCCTCTCTCTCTCTCTCTCTCTCTCTCTCTCTCTCTCGCTTTCTCGTTGCTCTCTAGTGTCGATCCCCTGATTTTTTCAGAAAAATGAAGATCGCCATCATCGGCCAGAGCGCATTTGGCGTCGATGTGTACAAAGCTTTGAGGTGGAAACCCATCCGAATTTTTTTGAAAACAGATTTTTAGGGCTAATGGCAACGAGATTGTGGTCGTTTTCACGATTCCTGACAAGAATGGTCGTGAGGATTTGCTTGGTATGCAAATTTAATCACTTGAAGACAGATTTTTAGCGCTGGAGGCAAAGAAAGATGGCGTTCCGGTGGAAAAGCCAGCCAGGTGGCGCAAGAAGGTGGCCGATGGAAAGTTTGAGGTAAGCAAAAGTTGTGACTTTTATGTCGAGTTCGTTAATTTTTTTCATTAAAAAGAACTTAGTTAGGAGTATTGGTAGTGGTTTACCAGTGGATATGATACCTTACTTTTATTATGGGTGGTGGTATACTTTTTGCATTAAAATTTTTTCATGTTTTTCATTTTTTACAGATTCTCCCCGAGATGCTAAAACTCTACCAATCATACGGCGCCGAGCTGAACGTGCTCCCATTTTGCACTCAATTTATTCCGCTGGAGATTACTGAGGAGCCCAAGTACAAATCTATCATCTACCATCCTTCTATCCTCCCTAAGCATCGGTAAGCTTTGGATTTTCCTTGCTGTCATATTCCCTTTAAGGCGCCCACAGTATACCATCTTTGGATCTGAATCTTTCAGAAATTACTGTCATTGCCCCGTTAATTGATTTTTCATCCAAAAACTAAAATTCTTTAAACTGCTTTGGTTCATCTAAATTAATTTAAAATTCTGTCTTGGTTCAGCTGATTTTGCAGAAAATCTATTGTAATCTTCATTGAACTACCTTGTGTGTTTTAAATCTTAAAAAGGATCCATTTAGTGGTGCTTCTGCCATTAACTGGACCCTGATTGACGGAGACGAAGAAGCCGGTCTCTCTATCTTCTGGGCAGATGATGGTCTCGACACGGGCCCTCTGCTACTCCAGAAGAAGTGCAAAGTCGAGGAGAACGATACCTTGAACACTCTGTACAAGCGTTTCTTATACCCAGCTGGCGTTGATGCTATGGTAAGGAAAAGATTAGCTTCTATTCGTTAAGGTTGCTTTATAAAAACGTGGTAATCTAGCAATTCTTGTCTCAATTTGAAATTTTTTAGGCAGAAGCCGTCGAGCTCATCGCTGCGGGCAAGGCGCCAAAGATTGTGCAACCGGAAGAAGGTTGGTTTCTAGATCTAACGATTTTCAGGATTCTCGTATATACCAAAAAACCTCGAAGCGCCTATCCGCGCCCCCTTTAAAATTTGAATTTTGATACGAGCCTTTCAAAAACGAGGTTTGGCAGGCAAAATTCAAAATGATATGATCGAAATTTAGCCTTTGATAAAAATATAACGTAATATAGAAAGTAGAGTGTTAATGAGCTCATTTTAAGGAGCCAGCTACGACCCGTACATCACCACGAAGCCCGAGCTGGCCGAGGTCGACTGGCGCAAGAACCAGCAACAGCTTCATAACTTTATTCGTGGAAATGATAAGGTGAGGACTCACAACCTGACCGTGTTTTTGTAAAGATTTCTTCTAAGTAAGCTTTATTAAAAGGTGAAATAAACGCAAGACAACGTATTTTTTTAGGTTCCCGGCGCCTGGGCGACCCTCAACGGCGAGAAGGTCACCTTCTTTGACTCGACGCTGTGGAAGGAGGTGGGTACGGTAAAGAATTCACGGTCGCACCGATTCTGGTTTTGTCAAGCTTGAAAACCGTATCCTATTCAAAGTCGGAAAAATACGATAAGGACAAACGTTTTTTTCAGAGTGCACTGCCCGAAAACGTGCGCCCTGTCGAGGTCGACACGATCCCGCACGGAAAGGTGTACGCGCACGACGGAGGACTGCTTTTGCCAGCCGCTGATGGAAAATATGTAAGTTTTTGACAATATATTGTCTAATGTGGCATGGGAAACGCTTTTGTAGCGTCTTTTCGAGCGTCGCGTAGCGTTCGAGCTTTAGTTTCTCGAAGCTACAAATTCTTCTCTTTCCCGATCCCTTTACTTAATTTTTTTATCAATTCCCCGTCATTTAAAAACTACATAAATTGGTGAATAAGATAAATAGCTTCATAATCAATTCTAGGTCAATGTCGCCACGATCAAACTCGGCACAAAACAACTGCCCGGCGCGAAGTATGGCCTTGCTGATGAGGGAGCCGAGAAACTGACCCTGAATGATGAGGAGAAAAAGCTGGCTGAGAAGCTGAAGGTATCCAATCATTCTTTAATAATACGAATCATCGGAATTCAGGAAATCTGGGCCGGTATCCTGAAGCAGGATATCGAAGACACTACCGACTTCTTTGGGAGTGGTGCTTCATCCGCTGATGTTACTCGCCTTGTTGAGGAGATCAAATTCCACACCGGGGTTGAGATCGAGCCGGCTGACGTACGTTTTGTATTGAGCATGACCTCACGTTTTCATGTCGTTTTTGCATAGCGTAACCAATTCGGTTTTCCCAGCTCTTAATCAGCATGGTCTACACCCCTTGGAATTACCACTTTTTAAAATGCTTATCAAAAACCCTGACTTTTTAGGTCTACTCCGGCCCGACCTACGGCGAAAACGTCAACGCCGTCGTCAAGCAGCAGCGTGGTGGCGGCGAAATTGAAGTGACTTACGATGCGGTAACATTTTTTACTTACCTCTTATCTCCAGAATTCGTAGGTCGAGATGAAGGCCAACAACCTGGATCTAAAGTTCCCGCACGAGCTGTTCATCGACGGAAGGTTCCAGCCGTCTGCGGTAAGTCAAAGCGCTGATTTTTTAGTTCTGTATCGGTTAGCACTTACCGTAACTCATAGATACCTAACGTAATTAGACTACCAAACTGTAAACACACCTTTAGTCTGGTCGCTGGGCTGCCACGATCGACCCGTCGAACGAGAAAGAAATTTGCAAGGTTCCCCTGGCCAATAAAGAGGATGTCAATAAGGCCGTAGCCGCTGCCAAAAAGGTAAGTTAATCTCAAACGTAAGCCTAAGCCTAAGCCCCGGCCTTAGCTTAAGCCTAAGTTTAATAAGCTTAAGCTTTCTACTCATCGTAACCAGGCGCTTTTCAGGCCTTCGAAGAGGGCGAATGGTCCAAGATGTCGGCCCGCGAGCGTGGAAAGCGTCTCTTCAAGCTGGCGGATATCATGGAGCAGCACAAGGTAAATTAATGCTCATTAATTATAGAAACCTAAATTGCAAACGGCATTAAAGATTTGTTTTAATTAAAATTTCAGGAAGAGCTCGCAACACTCGAGTCAATCGACGCCGGAGCGGTCTACACGCTGGCCGTGAAGACGCACGTCGGAATGTCGATCGAGACGTGGAGATACTTTGCTGGGTGGTGTGATAAGATTGAGGTAAATATCGATTTTCACCTGAAACAATCACATTATCTCTTTCTCCACCTCATTCTCATCGACTTCGCTGCTCCTTAGAACCCCGAATTGCGCTAATTTGCCATTTAGGGCTCCACGATCCCCATCACCGATGCTCGTCCGAATAAGAATTTGTGCTTGACGCGAAAGGAACCTGTCGGAGTTGTTGGTGGGTTTGTCAAAGGTTGAAACGTTATAATTAATGCTTTGTAAGATATGGAACGCACTGGTTTTAATCAACATTTTTAGGCCTCATCACCCCCTGGAATTACCCCCTGATGATGCTGTCGTGGAAGATGGCAGCCTGCTTGGCGGCTGGAAATACCGTAGTTCACAAGCCGGCCCTGGTAAGTCATAAGTGAGAAAGACAGTGACAGCGAGAGAGACAGAGAGAGAGAGAGAGAGAGAGAGAGAGAATGTGTGTATGAGACGGAGAAACGATTATGTTAGTTTAGTCTAATCTTAATTTTTAGGTCACCCCGCTGACCGCCTTGAAGTTCGCCGAGCTTTCCGTGAAAGCCGGAATCCCTGCCGGTGTCATCAACATTGTTACCGGGAGTGGCGGCGAGATCGGAGAGATTTTGACGAACCACAAGTAAGTTTTTGAAGCGTTGATGCTCTTAAAGAGACTGAAAAGCTCCAGCATAACGCTGGCGGCGATCCTTAGTTGTGTTAAATTGGAAAAAAGCAAAAATTTGCGACTTCTTAACCGGTTTGAAGCTACTAAAAGCCATTCTGCTCCGAATAAAATTACAATTATTTAGTGACGTGCGCAAAATCGGCTTTACCGGCAGTACTCCAGTTGGAAGCCAGGTCATGAAGAGGTAAGTAGAATCTTCCGAAATATGATAGTATAAACCAAAAAAAAATACGAATCGATACTTTTTACGCGGTTCGAGCTGTTTCATAAGGCATACCTATCATTTTCTAGCTGCGCCTCCAACATCAAGAAAGTCTCCCTCGAGCTCGGCGGCAAGTCGCCGCTCATCATCTTTGCCGACGCCGACATGGACAAGGCTGTGAAGCAGGCCTGCACGGCCGTCTACTTCAACAAGGGCGAGAACTGCATCGCAGCCGGACGTATCTTTATCGCCAAGTCGATCCACGACGAGTTTGTGAAGAAGATGGTGGCCGAGACGAAGAAGGTCAGTGCAAATCCGAGTTTTACAAAATTATACACTCTGTCAAATAACTATAGAATCAAGCGTTTTTTGCCCGTAACTTTCTTTCTATTGATCGGTTCGACTCGAAAATATGAGTGTAGCCCTTCTTCGATAGCAGAAAACTGTGTGCAAAGTCTGGAGGAGAACCGATTTGTGGAAGGTACGAATCCGCAAAGCTTCGTTCTGAATTTTGTCAAAAAACTTTTAAATCACCGATTTTTCTACCCGTTTATCTTTTCCGACCATTTTTTTTCAACGCGCATACATTTCTTTACACATGAAATATACTTTTGAATGAATAGTTTGGGCGTCCAAACTCAGAACAGGATTTTCCAAAAACTGATTTTAACAAAGAAATCCACATTTTTCTAAAATTCTGCCATATCAAAATTGTATTTCCTAAATTTTGATTGTACCTCCGAATGCGCATTTGACAGCGAGTACTTAGGTGCGTTTCGTTTTCCGGGAAACAGCCTGACGGCAAAGATATGCTCTGTCGAACCGTCGCCGCCACGTGTCCTTTGTTAAATGGTCAGGAAAATACCTTGAGAGCCGCGGCCAAACACTAAAGTGACCGTAGAGGACGAACGTTCGTAAATAGAGCGTAGGTTCCAATAAACAAATGTGTACCTTGGCATGCTCTTTCCGCAGGCAAAGCGACATATTTTTCCATCGTTGTTTATTGTCAGAATTTTAGAAAAATGTGGATTTCTTTGTTAAAATCAGTTTTTGGAAAATCCTGTTCTGAGCTTGGACGCCCAAACTATTCATTCAAAAGTATATTTCATGTGTAAAGAAATGTATGCGCGTTGGAAAAAAATGTCGGAAAAGATAAACGGGTAGAAAAATCGGTGATTTAAAAGTGATTCCATAGTTTTTTGACAAAATTCAGAACGAAGCTTTGCGGATTCGTACCTTCCACAAATCGGTTCTCCTCCAGACTTTGCACACAGTTTTCTGCTATCGAAGAAGGGCTACACTCATATTTTCGAGTCGAACCGATCAATAGAAAGTTACGGGCAAAAAACGCTTGATTCTATAGTTATTTGACAGAGTGTACTTCCGAATATTCGAATTCTCTAAAAAACCATACGTTTTAGCTGGTCATCGGCGAGCCGTTGGACCGTTCCACCGGCCATGGACCTCAAAATCACAAGGCTCACCTCGACAAGTTGGTCGAGTTCGTCGAGCGATCGGTCAAAGAAGGGGCAAAGGTATTTTTAATGTTTTTTCGATTAAAAGTCAATTGTTGTTTTTGATAAAATTGTGTATCTTAACTTCCTCGCCTTCTGTTAAACTACTCTCCCGTTATTCATTCTTTTGGCGACCAAAATTCTCGTAAAATAAACTTGAAAAATGGGTTGTTGTAAAAATTATCAAAAATATGTAGTATCAAAAACATAGAAAAAACTCTATCATTGCTTTTCAGGTCGAAGTCGGTGGAAAGCGCGCCGATCGGCCTGGCCTCTACTTTTTGCCTACCATCCTAACGAATGTCGATGACAAGAACTACGCGGCCCACGAGGAGTCCTTTGGTCCGATTATGTGTGTCAGCTCTTTTGATGACAGGTATGAATTTTTAATGAAATACGATAATTCTCTAAGCTCTTCAAACAAAAAGATCTTCTGTCCCGAAGCTTCAGAAACCCCGCATTTTTAGCGATATTGATGGTGTCATCCGACGTGCAAACGCTACAGAATATGGATTGGCTGCTGGGGTTTTCTCGAAGGTAAGTAAATATCTCTCTGTCTCTCTGTCTCTCTCTCTCTCTCTGTCTCTGTCTCTCTCGCTCTCTTGCCAGTATTGACGCGATTATGGACGTGTGTCGCATCTAGATCTGAAAAATTCTAGCATTTTAAGGACGTCAGCAAGGTGCTCCGCGTAGCTGATCGGCTGCATGCTGGAACTGTTTTCATCAACACTTACCAGAAGACCGACGTCGCCGCCCCGTTCGGTGGCTTCAAACAATCTGGATTTGGAAAGGATTTGGGTATGTATCATTATCTCTCTATCTCTCTCTCTCTCTCTCTCTCTCTCTCTCTCTCTCTCTGTCTCGCTCGCTTGCGGCTAGAAACAAAAATAATTTAACGTTTGATTCAGGCCGCGAAGCTCTAAACGAATACCTCGTCACCAAGACCATCACCATCGAGTACTAATGAATTATATTGGCCCAAAAAATTTCTTTTTTTGTCGCGTTGCGGTTAGTGTACGGTGCATCGGAATAAAGGATATATTCAAATTGTGACGTGTGAGGGGTAGTACATCAGACGCTTTTTCGTCAACGGAATTTGCAGAGAGAGTAAGTGTAAAGTGACGCGCTTTGAAAAGTCGCGCAGCGAATGCTTTCGTATAGGCCGAGAATGCTTTTTCCGTCTCAAGCAGCAAATTGCTTTTGGACCCGTATCCGAACACCGTTTTACACATGCTTCACGACTGAATGTGAAGCGATTCTTGTCGGCCGGCGTCGAAACGTGCATTCCCACAGTCAGCTTTCAGGGGAAATTACAATTTCAATACAAGGCGGAGCCGTATGTAAATTTGTATTGTATCAAAAGAATTACGGTCCCGGGTTGGCGGCAGTTCTTAAGGACAGCACCCCGGCCGGGTTTCCTTGCAATTCGGAAATGGAGTTTTGTCTTGATATTGCCGCGCTGTGGCTGCTAATTTTTTATTTCGGCTGGGCGCGGGCAACTAACGGTTCGTTTCTTTTTTTTACAATGCACAAGGGGTAGATTCCTTTCACATGGGAAGTCTTAGATGTCCGAAACACCAATTATTGATTCTTAGCCGAACTACTTGTGATTCTTTTAAGGAGACAATTCCTATTCTTTCTAACCTATACTAAACATGTCCTTCGTAACTAAAGGGTGTACAAAAAAAAGTACCCCCCTCTAGCGGCGCGGAGGAAGCTCGGATCACGCTGATTTCATCCGATCACATCACATCCGAAAGTTCTCGAAAAGGCGAGAAAACAAGCGGGTTTAGTTTTTTAAAATTTAAGCACATTCCATCGGGATTTAACGTTTTTCTAAGAGAGCAGGTAATTTTTCAACAGGAATTTTGCAATTTTGCAGGGTATGAACCCTCCTGGTTTTCTCGCCTTTTCGAGAGCTTTCGATAGATACCTAAACGGTGAAAATCGGACACGACTGCGCGCTGCTAGAGGGGGGTACTTTTTTTGGGACACCCTGTATGTGGATATTTGGAATGGATGCATTTAAGAGATGTGCTTGGAATCAGAGTTGGGCGTCGGACAATCGTTCACCATCACTTCCGAGATCGATCAGAGCCGGTTGGTACGGTCGCGCCATTACGCCGACTGTCATTACGCCAAAACTGATTCCGTCGAGCATTACGCCGACAATCAATAGATTGACAATTCGTTACGCCGGCATTCAAGACGCTACCCGTGCGCTGAACCGGTCAGCTGCGATCACTCGTTGCGGAAAGACGTGCGTCGGGCCTTAAAGCAGATTTTCAGTTTCGATTTCGGCTCACCTTACGATTCGCCACTTCCGTTCGGCATCGATATCATCCTGGCTGATTTCGCTGCAGGTAACGACATAAAGTGTCTCCTCGAATTTACTGGGAGTCCCAAAGGTGTTTTGGATCGCGCTCAAATTTGCTCAGGCATGGCTAAAATGTTCATGGCGGCGCGCAGACCGATAAATAACGGTAAACGAACGCCGATATATTCAACATAGGCGTGATTTTCCCGCTTGCCAGGGTTTAATGCGATTTTTAACTTTTAATGCGGAATTATGTAGTATATTTTTTAGATACTTGAAACGGTGCGAGATAACAATAAAAAGCGGAAAGTAATTTTTGTCAGACTTTAACTTTTCATATTGTAAATTTATAATTGAAAATAGCAGAAGTGCCTAGGCTAGGGGGGGTCCTTTGAGGGCGGTGAAAGGGTGGGTTAGCCGGCATACGGAAGCCCTGGACTCTTTTGTTGCAAAAGTCACCAATCGCTAGAATCATGTGGAGCAAACCATTTAGTGCATTGGACCCTTCGATTGGACGTCGACAACAACATTACTAGTGTAGTGCTGGAAGATTGGGACTCAGCTCTTGTGACGGCAACAATAACGTGATACCTTCCTGACTAACCTTTACAAAAAATAGACGCAAGACCGCGTCTTCAGCACTATTTGAGGTCACCTTCCTCGGCCACACCCTTTCAGCCGTGGCGCATTTTGAGGCGGAGATGATGTTCCCTGATGGTTTTTATGTACGAAGATTTTTTTGGATGCGAATTCCGTTTAGTGTGCGGGCAGCACAATTTGTAATGTCTCCGTGCCAACCTGGCCCGCATATGGATGGAAGCAGCGCTGCGAGGTAAGCCCAGAGTCAAGCTCGTTTGAGCCAAGTGCCAGTCAAGAGAGAGCCAATAGAATTTTCGGTTAGACTTTAATCCCCCCCAGTCCGAAGGTCCCCAAATCTTCAGGTATTTCCGCTATTTTGTCGGGATTTTGGCTAAGCCATTCGATAGAGAATAAAAAAAAATAGTAAGATTTTAGCTATGGTAAAGTAAATTCTTACAGCATTTTCAACAAATTCAAAATTGCATTAAAAAAGCCACAAGATATTTCATGCACCAGCGCCACGAATGACAGCCGTTTTCCCAGATCGCACCTCATTGTGAGTTTAGTAAACTTTTCCCAAGAGATAGTGGCCGATACGGCTCCACCAAAAGTCGTGGAAAGTACGATAACTTTATCTGTTTGGGTGCTTAGATGCGTGCTTGGGTGAGCCGTTGACCATCGGGCAATCATTCAACGTCACTGGCACTGTTCGCGTCGTACCTGATTATTACGTAATCGGCAACGACGCGATTTAGTAAGTTTTTTTCAATAGAACTTGGACGGCAAACATCTCGAGGCCGGAAATTTTGTTCAGCAAACGTTTTCCCTTATCCCCATCATCCCCCACCAGCTAACAATTTTTGCTAGAAAAATTGTAGGACGATAGATCGCTGTCGATTGTAGCAAACGGGCTTTGAGCTTGCGCTGTCTGAAATGACTATTTTGACTAGATTTCTGTCCCAAAGCCCTCTGTTAACGAGATCTACCCATACATGGAATTCCAGTTTTACCTTCAAGCTCTTCGATTCCACTTTCGCCAACGACGTGTTTTCTCTCTACATAAAAGCACTGGTCCGGATGGCGGACTACGTGGGAGTCCCTGGGATCGACTATGGCGAGGGTATGCCCATTGGCGGTATAGACGCGCCCCGCTCATTCCGCACCACCAAAACACGCTGTTTCAGATTTCCTGACCCTGGATGAAATTGTGCAAGCGCCGATCACGTTGCGTCTCACGTAAGATTTTGTAGGTGTTACACCGCTGCCAGTTCAGTCGAACTTCCACCACCCAGCTAACGGTTGAGATTTGGTATAACGGCGAAGAATACTCGGTCAACGCGACGGTCGCCAGCAATTTTACTTTTGCCCTGGTCGGCTGCATAATCCGGCATAACCAGTTTTCTATAGTGTACTGGCGATGCTGACACTTCGTGTGAATATACAATCCCGACAACAAGTCCAGACCGATTAGGCACCTGCACACTTAGCGCGGTCAGTTTCGGATTGTTGGCAAAATATAAGCGATTATGTATAGCTAACTTGTGTTTAGCAAGTCTTTTCCAGAACTAAAAGGATTTTGAATTTTTTTGCTTTACCTTGATCGATTACATTTAGCCTTCTACGACGATTGCCAGCCCCGCAAGCACCGCGACTGGCCGAAATTGCAAAGGAAAACGGTTAACTTAGATTTAATTCTAGAATATTTTTAGCAAACGCCGTGATATCAAAGCCCTGAAGACCAAGCCGTATAAGAAACTCGACCAGTTTTCCCGCATGCAGAAAATTATGGGTTAGCCGGCAATGTTCAATAGAGCACTGTTAATCAAATTGCTTTAAAATGACGGATTGCGTTGATTGAGAAATGCCAACTTTTTGCACTGTAATACTTTTATGCCGATCAAGCGGCACACTTGACGACGGCGTTATTCAGAAGCGAGCCAGAATACCTAAACTCGCGGTTGGGGATAACGAATTAAAGTACCATCTCGGGGAGCCATTGGAATTTGCGCATATCACCTTTTCGGGGATCGGTATCGTAGTAATACCGACGGTGGTCCTGAAGGAACAATTTGAGCTGGCGATTTAGCTATGTTGGAGTTAAAGGGACAAGGAAGGCCCAGTAGAGAGGGGCTAATCTATAATTGGCAACAAGCCAAGCGGAAATGCCGATGAAGAATATGTACAGAGATTGGGGCGAGGCAGGAGGAGCAGAGAAGATTTAAGCCAATTTTAGAATTAAGGCCCATTTTATGCTAATTTTACCTGGGCATCCTGATCGCTTTAACCCGAAAAACTAGAAAAAAAAACGCAAACCAAATTCCTAGACGCACTTATACGCGGCACAACCCGAAAACGTCGCCACACGACAGCCGTTCGCATCGTAGCTCGACGTGAATGCGACACCGGCACTGACATTTGGATCCGGACATGTTCCACATATTGCGGGAACCTGAAAATCGTTGGGCGTACGGAAATTAGTAATTTAGATAGTAGATACCATAGTACTAGCCGGCGTAGCCGCTGTCGTGCTTGCGCCTGGGCAGGCGCCCGCCTCGTCGTCCCCAGTCCAATTCGGTAACTGACCACAGTAGATCGACGTGAATTGCTTTGAACCGGCACCCTAAGTAATATACTGTTAAAAAACCTCAGCGCTCACGGCAGTCTTGTAGTACCACTTCCCATCATCATCACACGTGATTTCCACCGACTCGTCAAGTGTCGACACCTCGCCGCATTTTGAGACCGTAATCCAGTACTCGGAGTGCTGGCTGTTGTTCTTGAATATTCGTGGATAATAAGTTAAGGGGTTCGATACCTGGACAAGCCAAATTCTAGCCAAAGAAGAAGTAGTAACGTCCGGATCGGTCTGGCAGATTAGGTTCAGTGCAGAGCTGTTGGGTCCGACGCTGTAATTCGTCTTTTTTGGAGGAAGTATCAGAATGTAGGGGTCAATCCTAAAGTGCCTCCTACTTTGTATGCAGCAACAAGTGCCCGGCCGGTCCCGGCGCTCCGCCATAGAAATTGTCGTATTGCAGCGACATCAGGTTGAGGGTTTCGAAGCTGCACCGGCCTGAGCATTCTGAAATTTATGGTTCAATTGAGGTTTTAGGTCCGACAGGAGGACCTGTGGTGGTCGTGGTAGTTGTGGTGGTCGTTGTGGTAGTCGTCGTAGTAGTTGTAGTGGTGGTAGTGGTGGTAGTTGTGGTGGTAGTAGTAGTCGCTAAATTGAAAATTACTTGCCATACCAGGAGGTTACTTACCCTTGTTACAAGCAGCCGGGTACGACGTGGCTCTTTCCGGTGTTGTCAAGCCGCAACGTTGACTGACGACTCCATTGATAGTGAAGTTCACCTAGACATCGATTTCGATATGTGATCTTACTTAAAAAACAATTAAATTATTAAATACCAGCGCTGACCCCCCGCTCCGCGGGGGTTCAGCGCTGGCCCTCCCGGGGAGAAAAGGGAAAAGGCGAAACGCTAGAGCTCCGGTGAAAATTTTCAGCCCCCGACTACGGTAGCCATGGGGATCGCGGCGGGATTGAATTCCCGGTCGGTCGTGCGCACGGACATTAGAAATTTATATATAGTAGATACTCACAATAGGCGTGTTTTGGAAGCAACTTTTATCCGCGCACGGCTTCAATGGGCAACGAGTCGATCGGGTGCTGTCGCCACTAAACCTGCAGGATTTTAATTAGCATAAAAAGATGTGCGAGGTCTCGATTCTAGGTAAAAACTGTAATTTAGTGAAAACTTACGTGCATGGAACTACATTTGAAGTGAGGCAAGTGCGAGCTTGTGCTATCATTCCTTTCCTTCCACAAGTATCATTACATGCAGCTCCACTATTCGCCCAGGGTGACCATATACCTATAGAACTTTTTGCACTTTTTTCTCTGTATCTCTCTCTCTCTCTCTTTCTCTCTCTCGCTCGCTCTCTTGCTCTCACTCACTCAGGTATTGTCCAAAGCGTTATTTCCTAACTGTGCGACTTTCAGATGCCACTGCAAGAGAACCCCATAGAACCCTTCCCACAATTACTCATGTCAATTGAGGCCCTTCGGTCTCTTCAATGTATCAATTACCGTAAACCACAAATCGATCTTCCCGCGATTTATCGAAACCCAAAAAACCATTTATCTTACCTCCGTCGGGAATCCGTGGACACTCCACGGTCTCGGTCGCTGTAAATCATCATTTTTTCGAAAATCCGCGGATTCCTACTGGCACATGTGAAATCAGGATCGGCAACCGGTTCCGTCACATTTGTAGTAGATTGGCAGGTGTAGGCCTTTTCGATGACGTCGAGTTTCTAAAGGGATCATTAGGTGCCTTTAGGTTCCCAGACAAACCTTTGCGTACCCGTTGGCACAAGTCGGAGCCGGGGAGACACACATTGTATCCGGGCAGGCGACGTTGCGGAAGTAGGCTCCTCTGAAAGGATTAAGGGAAAAAAAGCGCGAGAAGCTGTATGGAAACGAAGTAACTTATATTTTCGTATTCTTACTTGCACGGACATCCAAACGAGTCAGAGACGCAATCACGCCTCTGCATCAGTTGCCCGTTCATGCCGCACGTCAGCGTACAAGTTGAGATCGCCGACCATTCGCCCCAGGCGCCTAATAAGGAAGGTAAGGCGCAAAACGCTGGTCGTAAGTAAAATACCATTTGCCGGGCAAGCTGACAATGGGCAGAGGTTGAGTGAAGCGCTGCCGCCAAAAGCCAAGAACCAAATCAAAGCCGTTAGAACCATTTGACATATTCATTGTTGAGTGGAATTTGCTTTTATACAATTCCCCTAAAAATTCGCACACTGGATTTGAAAAATTGCTGTGAAAATTCCTCTGGATTTTGAATCATGGGTCACTGGACTTCTTGCGATGATCTGCCATTTTTGGGATCGTACGTGTGTTGTGTCGAAAAGAGTGATTACGTGAAAACTACAACATTTTTATTCAGGGATTCAATAATATCCTTCTCACGAGCCACAGGGCAATCCGGTGCCCTCGTCGTCGGCATTTGGGTATGTATCGATGAGCAATTGGGTGATCGGCTTGTCACCAGCAGCCGCGTTCTACAATGACTTCTAATTTGCGTATTTATTAAAGCGCAGAATTCCTAAAAAAGGCACAAACCTTGTACATCCAGCTCCCGTTCGATCCACAGTAGATGCTCTCCGCTCCGGCATTATCTGTCGTAACCGATTGGCAGGCGGAATCGTCGGCGAGAGGCACTAGCCTCCCAGCTGCTCCAACTACCAGAATTTCCACGAGGTCTGTCGTCTGCCCAACGCAGCTCAGGCTGGCCCAGCATTGACCGGAAATGGTGCTAAAAGAACCTTTTTGGGAGTGAGAGAGAGAGAGAGAGAGAGAGAGAGAGAGAGATATGTCAAAGGTTGATACCTCAAATTAAGCGTGCAATTCGGAGCTCTAGCCTCCTCCGCCGCATCTGCGCATGGGCCAAGCAGCGCCTCAAATCCTGTCCTGTCGTTGCAGATATCGCATGCTTAAGGGAATTACCTAACTATAATAAAAGTAAATTCTATAAAAAAAATTGAAAAAGTAAGTAAAGTAAAATAGAATAAAAGGTTGGCATAAGAAACGGTAGAAGCAACTAGAGATGTTAAGAATCAATTAACAATCAAGATTATTTGCATACATTGGCACAATATTATTTGATTTGGATGGGGCTGAGCGCATGGCCAAGTAAAATAATATTATTTGACTCCGCTCGAGAAAGAGCCAAGTAAGATTACTTGATTTACTTGATTTACTTGATCAAACAATAGCTTTCTGGAATTCTGGCATTTTTCGGATGGTAATGAACTTTATGACATGATCGCATGCTAATTTACTGGGTTCGCGGCACGATTGTCTGATTTGCATTGCGAATTTGCACAAAATCAAGTAATTTCGCTGAAAATCAAGTAATTCTCCCAAATCAATCAAGATCAAGTAAATCAATTAATTTTATTTTACTTGATGCTTATTTAATCAAACGGCGTAAAATAATTTTATATTTACTTGAAGATTTCAGATGCAAATAAAGTTGTTCAAGCAAATTTACTTGGTCATTATATTACTTGATTCGTAACATCTCTAGAAGCAACTAAGAAAGTCCAATAGTAAGTTATCGATTTCTTACAATCTGGCACCACTGTGGTAGTTGTCGTGGGAGCAGCAGTTGTCGTACTAGTAGGCGCTTAATGAAGAAAATTTTGAACTTGTACAAACTAACCATAGTTACAGCCATTTGGATAGCACCCAGACGTGACCTCGATTCCTGTCACACCACACATTGTTTTTAGCTCGCCATTGATGTTGTAGGTGCGCTAAAAGAAGACAACCTTTTCTATTTGAGGTTTTCTATTTAATTTAAAGGGATTTATTACAAGGAATAATCCTACAAAAGCTCTGTGCTTTTCTCTTCAACCCTTCAAAAATGCCGTACCACCACTTGGTTCTGCACACAGCTCCCGTCAGGACAAGGATAATTCGGACAAGTGATTGTACGACTGCTGATCCCGCTGAGATATGTATGAAGTTTTTGCTTCCAAAGTTGAAGCTCACGTGCAAGGCTGCGACAAGGAAGTTAGACAAGTTCGTGTTTGAGCGATCGTTCCTTTCTTTCCACAAGTCGCGGAGCAGGTGGCTCCCGAAGCTGTTGACCATCCAGACCAGATACCTTGGCAAGAATTAGTGAACTTTCATGCCCTTACCTCGACTGGGAGTGCGAGGGCAGTAGCCGGATTGAGTTCCTAAATTTAGGTATAGGTTGAAACTACAAACGTTTTCGTCCGAATCCCTATACTATGCCGATTCGACATGCCCGCCAAACCTTTTTGCAAAATTTACGCTAAATACAACGAAAAATATTCTCACTTGCACAACTAAAATTTGGATTGGCCGGCGGTGCATCGACAGGAGTTGTTGATTGGCAAGTGTAGGTGTTTGTAGCCGTGTTTAACTTCTGGAAGGCATCGGTTTTAATCTTAGAAAGTCACAAAAAATTTACTCGTGCATATCCCGTCGCACATATGGTCGCCGGTGCCACACAGAGCGCTGGCGGGCAATCGATCACCTGCGAGGTGGCGCCGCTGAAAACAGATGACGAGAATGCCGTTTTTCGTGATAACGATGGTACTGTATTTGAAATGAGGTGTTGGATAAAAATTTCAAACCCCTACTTGCAAGGACATCCGAACGTCTCGGAGACACAAGTTCGCTGCTGTGACACCTGGCCCTTCATTCCACAAGCGGCGGTGCAGGCTGTGATTGAGGTCCACTCGCCCCAAGCGCCTGTTTTCTGATTGCCTACACTTCAAAGCGACTTTACCACCGCCATCAGCCGGACAAGACGAGGTCGGGCACACCATGTAGGCGGTGCCGCTAGCTAAAAGACCGGTTATCGAACATTAGCGCCAGTTTCAAAAGTTTTTTCATCCCGAAAAAGCACGTTCGCATAAAGGGCACGTTCAGGGACGTTTTTTTGGTAAAAAGCAAAGATTTTGCCGCGACCGGGGGCCGCACCCGGCCCCCCCGCTCGGGAGGCGCGGATGCATACCAGTCGGCCACAGCTACAGCCTGGCGAGGGGATGAGGGGCGTCCCAGGCCGCAAAGGAGGGAAATTGGCTCCCACTGCATGGGCAGGCAGTGCGCGCGGTCCCTACGTCCATAGGGTGTACACGTTCGGACGAGTACACGGCCCCTCCCTGAACGTGCGCTTTAAGGTCAAGGCGGCACAGTGTAGCGTGCTGACGATAGAGAGCGAGAAAGAGAGAGAGTGCGAGAGAGAGAAATAGCGGGAGATAAAGTGAGATTTCCCTACCGACATTACAACCTTCCGGATAGCACGATTCTGGTTCTGGCAGAGGTGCAACCCCGCAGCGTTCCTCGTCTGCCCCATCGATCGTGACAGTAACCTAATGGTAGCATTGCTCATTTAAGCAAGTTTTTAATTTCATTACAATTTGAGCATTAAGTCACCCTGAAATTGCCAATTACCCACAATCGCAACGTTCTGCCAGCAGGTCCGGTTGGGGCAAGGAAACTGCGGGCATCTGATCGTCCGAGTGGTGATGCCTCTAGACGAAACAAAATTATCTTTGTCGATAAAATCAAAAAGTCTAATGTTTAATTAATGCTAAAACCACGTACGTGCAATTCACGACGTTAGTGCTCAAGCAGGTCCGTACTTGATCAACCGTCCCATATCTTCCGCAAGTAGCCGTACAGGTCTGGTCAGCGACGGGCTTCCAATTTGACCACATTCCTAAAAATTTTTACACGCGGAGAGGTATACTATCTGGCAGTACTGAAAAAGTCTTATGGGGCCGTGTTTCATCGAAGATCTGCCACTTACCGGTTGGCTTGACCCTTGGGCATGGCACGGTTTCGGTCACTAAAACATTGGATCGATGAAGCTTCATGCACTCTTACTTGCACAGGTAAAATCCGGATTGGCAGGGGGATCTGTGGTATTGGTGGTTGCTTGGCAGGTGTACTTCTTTTTGACCGTGTTGAGTTGCTAAAAATTTGTTGAGTAGTTGATGGAAATCCCAAGTTTAACATAAGTTATAAAATCCTGAACTGCCGAACCTATTATTTGTAATTTAAAGGTTTCTATATCATAGTGATATAGAATTATCCGTGAATGTACTATGTAACGGTTAGACAATTTAATGACCTTTGTATACCCATCCGCACAGGTCGAATCGGGAAACGTGCACATCGCGTCAGGGCAATCACGGTTCCGGAAGTAGGCGCCTCTGAAATCCATACCTCAATGGCTTCGAAATTCAATTTTATAGCATCCATCAACGAAATTTTGGTAACTGACGTGCAAGGACATCCAAAAGCTTCCGAGACACATTCCCGCTGCTGCATCTGTTGCCCCTTCATCCCGCATGTAGCCGTACAGGTCGAGATCGTCGCCCATTGCCCCCAGGCGCCTTGAAATGGCAAAAAATTGCTTATGAAAGCCTTTAATGTGTAAACAAACTAACTTAATTACTCTACTCTTCATGATTTTTGTACTACTGATTAAAGTTACGACTAGCCGACAATAAGGTTAATTCAACCTACCTCCATCCGGACATGCCGACAGCGGGCATACCTTGATCGCTATTAAGTGACCCAAACGAACTTGTAAAACTGCAACTGAAAAAATACCAATCGCTAAAAAGCCGATCAATAATATTGGGTACAACATTTTAGCAGTAACCGCTGCAGGATTATTGGAATAGTTTTGCACGAGTATTTCTCGAGAGTATCGACTCATGGGAACCCGTTTTCGATCGCCTTTCAACACCCTACGGCCAATTTGGATGTAAATGGACTGGGTTTCTAACAAATTTTAATCTGAATTTAACACAAATTTTAACGCCTTAAAAACGCTAAACGATGAATTCCGCGCTAGAATTTTTCATCACCATTCGTGTAGAAATTAAAATTCGGTGGAAGTTGGATGTGAATTCTTCAATTTTTCATAGAACCTTCAACACATTTATTCGTTTCAGTTTATGCCAAACAATTCGGTAGTCCCGGCGCATTATTGAAATTTGGCATCTGGAAGCAGACGATCGTCCGCAGCGGGAAATTGCGTCCAGCCTATAAAAAAAGGCGATTCAGCTGTCTCTCTCTCGCTCTCTCTCTCTCTCTCTCTCTCTCTCTCTCTCTCTCTCTCTCTCTCTCTCTCTCTCTCTCTCTCTCTCTCTCTCGCTCTCTCTCTCTCTCTCTCTCTCTCTCTCTCTCTGTCTCTCTCTCTCTTTCTCGCTCTCTCTTACCGTCCATGCGCGATACACTTGCTTTCCATCACAGGCCACTTTGACACCCTGGGCCATGGAGCTGACCGATTTGCACGCGAATACGGTATCACGGATCGTCCAATCAGTTACGGTCTAGGAGAGAAGCGGTCCTTATAGGCTCTAGGTTCCATACCCCATCCATGAAAGCCAAAACGGCAAGTGAAGTTGCGGGGGTTGTAACACCACATTTGATGTCCATCTCGCAGACATTGTTCGAGCCGTTCAAGCTAAACTTACGTGTAGCGCTCTAATAGTCCACTTTTAATTGCGAACCATGTTACAAGTATGAGATGAACAACCGTAAATTATTATTACGATTCTTACCTTACAAAAAATGTTCTCGGTCTAAACTGTAGAAAACCCCCGGAAAAAATCTAAAATTGTATGCATTCTTTGTGTTGTTATTCTAATTCTGCAGCTGGTTTTTTTGGCTCTACAAGAGTACAAATTTTGAGTAAAAGCACTAGCACCATATAGAAAACAATACTTACTATGTAATTTGGTAATCAGCAATGGCCTGCGAGCCTGAGCTGTAGTCAGACAAGGCCGTGACATTCTTGAAGAGAGCTTGGAAGCTGGCAGTCGTGCAGTTTCCGAGCGGGCAGGTTTGAGCCGCACCCACGCCGAGGAGAGCGGAAGCGACTGAAAACGTTGTCGTAAAATTCATTTGCAGTTTCCAGCTTCTTTTTACTCGCAGAAGGCTCGAAAAATCAGGTTGAAAATTCAGTTCCGAGCGCAGCCTTCCGTCTATACCTTGAGCACCACCAGCGTTTTTGATGAAAATTGAATAATTAAAAAGTAAACCTACCGAAGAAGAAAGCAACTTGCGACGACATATTCAGCAATAAAATCCACACAACTCGTTGCAATTTATCAAAAAATAATGTTCTCACATAAGCAATCGACTAGTGTGGGATCGTCTGAGAATTTCTATGCCAAAACATCTTTTGTGTGGCAAAATGCGACTTTGCACGGGTGCTCTTCGATCGTCAATTGGAAAAATCGGAAAAAAGGAAGCCCGGAATCATGAAAGCGTTTTACCTGTTTTTCCGGTCCTTTAAAGCCCTGATTCTGAAGTTATTTTAACTGTATTTTCCGTACCATCTGTTCATGAAAAATTTAAACAATATATGTAATTATTTTCAGGATGCTGCCAGGAACAACTGAACGTCTTGAAGATGCCGGTTGTTCTCCTCCACTTTTACCAGCAAGCCCTGAAGCTCCTCTGTACCCATATCAAGCTCCCGAGCCAAGCCTCTCCCGTCGCAAGCATCTTGAACTCGAGTACAAAAAGCAGGTCGCAATGCTGCTACACGGATACACAAAACGCTTCTCGCCGGACACGCCGCCTTTTCTCGGATTCGCCATGAGCTTCAACGACCCGCCACCCGTCTGGCGCGTATTACCCTGCTGCCAAGCTTGCACCGGTGCGCACCACCTACGGGATTGCATGATCTACGCGACAGCCGAGGAACGAATTCTCTGCCTGCAGCTCCAGAATAGGTCCCTCACCTGCCTCTGGCATCGTGTAAACCGCGGAAAAGCCTGTCAGGAAGTGAGGTTTTGCGCGGTGTGCGTACGGAGGCGGAAGAAAACGGAGGAGGACCTGGTGGAAACTTTGCACAACACCGCGTTGTGCCCACACTTCTTCACCATCGAGCGGGCAGTTTATCAGAAGCGGCAGCACTTCAATGGGGCGCCGCCAGGTCAGCAGGAGCGCAAGAAGCAAACTTTTATCGGTTTCTAACGTATGTATCATAAATGCTATTTTCTACAAAAATCATCGTTTTTCTATGCAGAAAACAAAGAGAGAGAGAGGGAAAGAGGGAGAGAGCGGTAGAGATCGAAAGCGAGAGAGAGAGAGAGAGAGAGAGAGAGAGAGAGAGAGGGCGTGGAAGCGATAGGGAGATCGAGAAAGAGTGCACTGAGAGAGAGAGAGAGAGAGAGAGAGAGAGAGAGAGAGAGAGAGAAAAGGCGCGAGAGTGAAAGCGAGGGAATGCAAGGGAGAGAGCTAGTCAAAGAGATGACCAGTGAAGATGAGAGTAAGAGAGAACCAGAAAGAAAATGAGATAATGAGATAAATTAGTATATTATGGTCATCGTGTGAGAGTATAACAGCGAGCCAGAGTGTGAGCAAGAGCGCTAGGGCGAATAAGCTAGTCAGGGTTTGAGCACAAGCGCGAGAGCGGGTAAGCTAGTGAGAGCCTGAGCAATAGAGTGAACTAGAGCGAGAAACAAAATCTTAATGAAATCAAACTAAAAGCAAATAAATGCTCTTTTAAAGAAGCTCATGCTCACTTCCATTTCTTTTCAACCCCCAGAATTCTTCACTAGAAGATATTCTCGCAGCGAGCTATCATGGCTCATCCGCTGCGGGCCAGCCAGCTGATCCCCACATGGCGGTGTCATTTGGAGCGTCGCGTAGCCCACAGAGACAGCCGCCGCGATAAGACGTAATCTCGAAATTGCTTGGGTGACGACGAAGTGGTGGAGGACGAGATAGCGTTGGAGGCAAAAAAAGGCGGAAAGAATGGAAATAGGGGGATAGCCCCGTCTCTGTGCGTCCTAAATCCTCGTCGACCGATCACTGGAACCGAACGCCGCGAGCGGGGTGATCAACGACTTTGAGGCGTGTTCTGGTGCTTGTATAAAAATCGGTGCATTTTGCACGCGTACAGCGCGTAGACTGCGCAAAATGCATAAAGTGAAAGCGAATTTAGAGGGGCATTTCTTTGACATCCTCACAGTCACAGCCTTCGCAGTTTACGTAATGGCATTGGATGGCAAGACAGCGGCAAATAAAAACCTAAAAATAGATTTTTGTTCTTTATATGGAAATTAGGTAAGACTTTACTTTACCCCTCCCCCAAGCCGAAGGGTCTCAAAGTTTTCGGTATTTTCGCTTATTTTGTCGGGATTTTTGGAACGCGATTCGATAGACGTCGAAAAATATTCTGAGAGTTTTAATTTGAGCCTACGATAATGTAAATTCAAAAGTTAGAGCCAAATACTTCCGTATGGGGAGGGGGTCTAGTAAAGTATAGCCGGAAATTATTTTACTGCCAGATATACAATATGTGCAAAAGTTTACTTATGTTGCCGCTTTGTACTACTTTTTATAGCGGCATACTGGAAATATCCCCCTTAAAGGGCCTATTTTTCAGTTATAGGTAGCGACGTTGAAATTTCAGCTTTGACGCTTTGCGACTCATACGAGTTTTCAAGGCTGGATTTTTTTGTCGATCCCTATCCTATATTTCCAAACCCTACAAAACTTCCATCATACAATCTATTTCGAGCGGATCCCCCATCTGTAAGACTTTGGAATCAACGATGGCGTGTTTACACTGCGTGGTGCGCGCGTGCCGCCGGGATTAGATGGTGCTGATGATGGCGAGGCGTGGGGGAGGAGAGACACGGAAAAAGGAGGGAGATTACTAATTTCAGCAGATGCCCACATCGCAAATGGCAGTGCCTAGAATACCCTGGGCTTTACAGGAATTACAGACTTCATCCCCCACATCTGACGACGTCGCCCTGTTTTCGGATTACAATGGAGATCTGGGTGGATTTGTCGGAGCCGTGGGAAATGATAAATACCTCTCGAATTCTATTTTGAAATCGGGTCCAAATCCGGGGTTGTCATCTTCAGCTGATGACCCGGTCGAAACCGGAAAAGCCGGATTGTTTTCAGCAATTTCGGAGGGATTACTATGCAGATTGTCAAAGAGCATGTGGTCTAGCGGATCACGGAAGCTAAGGAAAATCCTAAACCGCCTTTTTCCTTTCCTTTTTAAAAACGGGGTCCAAAACGGGGCTGTCATTTCGGCTGATGACCCGGTTGAAACGGAAAAGCCGGATTGTTTTCAGCAATTTCGGAGGGATTTTTCGGTAGATTATCAAGGAGTATGTGACCTAGCGAATCACGGAAGCGAAGGAAAAATCCGCGTCCAAATTCCTTTTTTAAAAATTGAATCCAAATCCGGGGGATTGCCATCTTCGGCTGATGACCCCCGGTTTCAATTTTTATGCAGATGATCAAAAAGAGCATGTGGTCTAGCGAATCACGGAAGCTAAGAAAAATCCTAAACCGCATCCGAATACCTTTTTAAAAATTGGGTCCAAATCCGGGGTTGTCATTTCCGGCTGATGACCCGTTTCAACGGAAAAAATTGGGGTGTTCTCAGCGCGTCGCTGCCATTTCGGTAGATCATGAACGGTCTTTATTTACCCCGGAGAATCACGTAAATGAACCGAAGAGGTGTATCGAAAGCTTTCAAGGAGTCGGTAAGGCAATCGAAACGCCAAAATCCCGACATATTTTGATATTTTTTATACTTTTTACCCTTTTTAACACAATAAAGGTTATCGTTACGATATCAAAGTCTATGAACACGTCTATTTCGATCCCAATAGTCCTTTCATGCTCATTTTTTGGTCGAGTCTATTTCCATCTGTGGGGCTCAACCTGGCGCGCCCTCGAAAATAGACCCAGGCTTTGTCTGCATAACCCCGGGCCCGGCTTCTGAGTGGTCATTCTCATCGGGTGACCCGCTTCCTCCGCGCTTTGTTACTATTACTGTCGTGTCATCAAGTCATGCAAAAGCCGGGGCGGCGATTATCGGCTTTGATGCATTCGTGCGATCCTCGGAAGAGGACGATTAGGATCACATCATGTCAGGGGCAAAACCAGAAGTGTACCACAGCCGAACCCTGATTAGATGATCGTGACATTTTGAAGAGTGGAATCTGGATAAAATGATATCAAAAGCCCGGTGCTTTGGCGTTATCGGGGGTGAAGGTCAAAGGGGAAGCCAGCGCTTTCTTTATTCTTCAATTTTTTTAAGTAAATAGAGAAATTATTTTAAGTTCTTTTTAGGTATTCTAAAACTCAAAGAACACCGATTTCTCGAAAAAAGTTGTTTTTGACCGAAAATCCTTAAATTTTAATTCAAAATGCTTTAATAATTTTTCCAGGTAAAATACAGCGAAATTTTGTTAAAAAATATAAAATAACTGCTACTATGTGAATCGGAATTTCTAAAATTATAAAAACGACTTGTACCATGGCGAACTTGGCCCCCCCATAATGTGAAAGCTCGTAAGCGTCCTACAGTAAGGTTTTTTGACTGTACGTATTTGCATGAAAAACATTTTCTCAGATTAGTTTCAGTTGGAGACTTTTTTACATTTCGCGATTCTGCGATCACACTGGGATTCCAAAGAATCCAGATTTCGAAAAAATTTCCTCAACCCCTCCACTTGCTGCCCTGACCATTTTCCATGGCGCTCCTCTAAACAGCTAACAGCAGCCACCTCGCTAATCCCCACGTCTCGAGCAGTTCGGGCATCTGGCCCCCACTTCTTGGTGTTTATAATCAGAAATAGAGAGCTTCCCCAGAAGCCGCTCGAACTGAAAACGAATAAACTGAGGAGGTGGACTATCTATCGTGAGGCGCGGAAAAGCCAAGATTACACGGGCAGCACCACATCTGTCTAAACATCTTTCGCGACTCGAGGGGAATGTTGCAAACGTCACGGATCAGCACTTACGGCAGGAAATAGCTTAAAATTAAGCAATGCTTCGGGGTTTTTATGCATTCGAGAGCGATACACCATTTTAGAGGGACATTTTAAGGGGAATTTTTGACTTTTTGAGATTTTTGACGCTTTGAAAATCCCAATCAATGAGCGTCGGAAATCCTATCTAGAATTTTTTAACAGCCCGAAAAAATATATTCTAAACAATTTTGATTAGCCGAAAGCGTTCCACCAGGTGCAGGTAGTAGTGCCTGATAAAGGAATAGAAAAGTCCAAGTCCAAAGTCAAATATCCGCTCTAGAAGCTATAGGAATCTTGCGGAAATTCTATCACATTTTGATTCTTACACCCTGTTTTGGGAACATCCCTGCCCAAGATTCCTCACCACCAGTGGCGCATCACCAGAAAACACCGGTGGGCTCGCCCCCCGGCTGAGGATTGGGGGTACTTGACCCGATTGTCTGTTCTGTGTCTGTGTTACGGTAGTCATTGTCGGATCGTGTGTCCACTTCAACTGGTCACATTGTTTGGAGGGGGCTATGGATTGGGGGGAGGAACAGGTACTTGTCAGCCAAGAGTTTAGACAGATGTCTATTTCAGTAAAAGGTGATATTGATGAAAAATGCCAGAATAAATTTGCTCTCACCCTCTCTCTCGCTCTCTCTCTCTCTCTCTCTCTTTCTCTCACTCTTTCGGCTCGCGCGCCTTCTCTACCTCGTGCTCACTCCCGCACTCGCCCTCTGTAGCTCCAACTATCTCTCGCACTCTCGCTCTCTTTCTCTCTCGCTCTCTCTCACACACTCTACTTCGCTTTGGCCTTCTCCCTCTATCTCTAGACGTGCTCACTCCCTGACGCGCTTTTTCTGGATTTTAGCTCTAAATATCACTATTTTTCCATCTTTCTCACTCTGTCTCGCCCTTTCTCTCGCTCACTCGTCCACTCGCTCTCTCTATCTCTCGCTCTCTTTCTCTCTCGCTCTGCCTCGCTCTATTACCCAACCCCAAAGATCATAATTCAGAGCGTCGTAGCACTTCGCTGCCGCAGAGATCCAACCCATCCCCCTTCATGCCCAAAACTTGAGGAGAGAGAGAGCGAGAGAGAGCTAGTGAGAAAGAAAGCATCTACACTGGTGCGAAATGATGATGATCGCTGAGAGACAACCAGTCCCCCTCCAGCCCGCGATCCAATCCAACCATCTTTCG